ACCCAAGTCTATAATACAAGGACGTCAGTCCTTTCTTCTAAACCCTTCCCCTACCACAACGTAATCAATCAGGATTGGCAAAAATGATGGATAATACTCATTGAAATTAATACACAGTAAAGCTGAAACAACTACCTGACTTCGACCCTTCCCACTTTTCTTATTTGGAACTGACTAAGTGTGTATTTGAGACATATTTCTGATCGGGTATTTGTCATTCGTGTGTGGTGAATTTTTCATATTTTTTATATATTCCTTGTTATTTCTCCAATGCCCGTCGTCATCTCTGTATTTCTACATTATTGATTTCAAGATCACGTCATTAATCGAATTCAACATTTGTATGGCCTATGTGCATTTTTTAATGTTAACAACATGATCGATCGTAATTGAATTTTTATTTTTTTAGTATGCACAACAGGATAAATTGTGAAGTAATTACTTCAATCATTTCGACATTTTGTTGATCAGGGTTAAATTTTCTTCAGTATACATTACCGTATCCGGTATAATTGTGTCATAACAAATTCTGATCGAGAACACCAGCTCTCTTTATATAAGTTTATAGAAGCAATTTAACATTTTATTGTCTTTTGCATATATTTTCAGGTGTAAAATATCTAAAAGAGTGCCCCGTTGAACCCAAAATTCCTATTTACCTCCTAGTTGGAGGTTGTTTTGGGCTTTTGAAAATGATTGTTATATTGTGGCGTCAAGTTCGATCTAGAAGATCTGACAAAATTGACGATTTTGACAGCGGAGAAGACGGAAATGGCGACGTCATTATGTCAAGGTCATCTAAATTCACAGACTTCGTGCTGAGTTTATTTCTATTTATATGGTTCGTGTGTGGTAATATATGGGTATTAGGAATATATAAACCCTACTTTCATCAACTGTTACACGATCCTAGCAATTGGTGCGAATATACAGCGTATATGTTTGCATTTTTTCAAATAATGATTTGCTATGGAGTTATGGGTCTGATATTCATACTGATGTTTATATTAGTGGTGTGTCACAAATGCACAACTTCCTCAGATGGTGATTGAAATATACGATCAAAACAAAAGGAAATTTCTAGGTGCATTATACAATCAGGACGAAGCATGTCTTACGTGCAGAGCTGATCGGCAACACTTCCGGGAGATACGGAGTAAATGGACATAAAAGTGACATCACGAGGTGAATGTGAAAGCAATATACATTTTAAGAACACATTCCATTTTTTCATTGTCACATACATATGGACGCAAATCGAAATATGGATAGCTGTCCGTTGTGCGCAAAGGTATATATTAAATACTGGAACATTTATAACTACAGTATTTACCTATACTTTTAGATCTATATTTGATAATAGATGACTATACTTATATTATTTTATGAATGCGACGTTTTCCAATACGTTCATGCTGAACATTACAATATATCGGATGTCCAAAAATGTGAACAGCTTTTTGACAAATATTTCGCGGCAGATTAAACAAATCCATTGGAATTTTTTTTATCATAAGCAAGTGTTATTACGATAACAGAGACCCGTTACATATCATGTGAGTACTGATAAATTCAAAACGCATGACAAAAAACTTATATTAGAGCTGAGCAGAGACCTTTATTAATGCTAGCTATCAGATGTTGGCAACTGTCGATCAGACTGAGTCCTAAAAACTTGTCCGGGTGTCAGGTCTATTAAATTTTAAAGGAATTTCTGGGCACTGGATGGAATTATGTAACACATATAATGTACTACATCAGACATACATTGAAGGACATGATATTTATGTCATGAGTTGTAATATCATTGGAGGAATTATACAAAAGCCTACAAAAATGGGTTCGTTCAGACTGAAATAAGTGACTTTTCCGTCTATATTGGATCTTGAGATGTTGTTTTTACTTCGAAGATAATAATATAAATTGCGACTTACCTAGATATCTTGTATATTCTGCAGACTCTATAGTGACATCTTACGCTTATTCAATAAACATTTCGAAATCAGTTCATTTATTGCTGAGAAAATACTTGTCAAAAAGCAATTCACTTTTTATTGGGCACTCGATATACGATATCTCGTATATGATACCAAGTGACATGACTACAAAGCAACAAAGTTGGATTATAGTAGACAATGTAGTCAATATTGACTTGTTTAAAGTTGATATTTTGGCGCTATTTCCGATATCTTGCCATTTATTTGGAATTAATGTGAATTAAATGAACAAGGTGAATAGCTTTTGTGTATACGTGACGTTGAATATAGCTTGCTTTTTATTGGTTTAGGTAAGCATATGAGCATAACAATAGGTACACACGTCTGCAACATTTGTTAGTTGAGGCCAATTTTAAAATTGTGTAACTGTTTCTAACAAAAATCTATATCAGAATTCGCATTTTTTCTTACGGAAAACCTTCTTTATATCAACATATGGAAATGCTAGTCTACTAAAATAGATAGTTATACATTAATGTGTTTTACAACGCAGGCTTTGGGAAACAACGCAATTGTGTAGGAGATATGAAAAATGTAGCAGCTTCCCTCGTTGTAAATGTTGTAGCGTAAAGTGTATTTTATAGATGGCGCCAAATATGATTGCAGTACGTTTAACATTATAAGATAGTAGTATCTTTTGGTATGAGGATATATCAGCGTCGTACAATGTAATAATTTATCATTACAATAAAAATTTCATAATAAACATAATGTGTCAGTATTCGTTAATATCCTTGAGAGTACTAAGGAACAACATGCACATAAACACTTTCAAATGGACAATAATGCGCACAGGGGTCGTGTGATTTGGCAAGAAAATTCAACAACTCTGACTTATTTGTCATGAGAATGGTTACATATAAATCGCTCATTGTGGGATAACATTGTGTATGTATCTTTGAAGTCAATTAATATCTTTGTAATGGATGAAGGAAGTTTGGTCACCTGATAGACAAATTGAATTTAACTATCGTAACCATATGAATGTTTCACTGGGTAATTCTATCAAAGTTTAGGGAAAAGCTAACTTGTTTAATCACCACCATCTATATTCATATCTTTGGAATTGCATTCATTTCATTTACTACACTTTAGATAAGAGAACGTGTCAATATCGGAAATCCATACAGATATTACTGACGAAATACTATATCTAGTAGCAATTTTAGTATGATAGTAAAAACTTATATTATTGCAATGTCCATGCAACGAAAATAAAGCGGTATTGACCTTGATACAACAAAATGGCATGGCCATTTACCATCATCTACACATTTAAACATTTTCGCATTCAAAACAAACTATATGACACGACAATGTATCATGTTTTTACCAATGATCAAGTGTCGTACGTTCTCTCATATTTTATGCGAGCATGATTTCTTGAACTAGCTTTCACCTTATCGTAGACATGTTGACCTCTGAAGTGGTCTCTAGAAAATGCTTGAATATCACGAGGCTATGGTGTAATCGTTTTTAACATAACATAATAAAAGGTGACACCAGATATTTAAGTCATATGATTTATTTATATGTATAGGATATCCTATGATTTTGAGAGATATCATTTTTATCAACGAGATGATATCAATATCTGGACGAGTGAACGTAGCGAATGAGTGCAGATATTGATATCAACGAGTGGATTACGAAAAAATCATAGGAGGTTCTATTTATCCAATAGCTGAGGTCAAATCACACCATAGTTCATCTTATAAAGAAATTTAAAACAACATTCAGTTTTATTTTGTCATTTGGACTATAGCCAAAACATTAATCATAACCATATTTGTGACGTCATGAAATCAAATTGGCGGAAGTTTTCAAATCCGTGGAAAAAGTGATATCTGTGGAAAATTCTTCGTATTCCACATATATCGCTTTCCATGCATTTGCAAAATATCATAAATATATACACGTGTTATTCTACAGATTTGATCTCAACTATGGGATAAATTGATATACAGTATATAGGTTATTTACTGGGAGGGATTGAATATGGGTTTTATTACGAGGGACAATACGATTGTTTCATGTAATATGATTCAATACGATTTTTATTCCTTCATATTTCCCTGGGAAAACAGTAGTATTATGAAATAAATCCCTATACAAAAACAATTTGTGCAAAGGAAACATGCCCAAATATAGTTTATACTGATAGTCGTTGATATTCTACCTAATATTTAAACCAAATGTTATAACCAATCTTTTACTTTTGATGGAGTTCATAAATAAAACACAAAATGCTCATCAATACTGGCTACCGAGATACATCATCAGTAGTCTACCTTCCTCGGATCGCGGGGGCTATGTAATGGGGCTTTGCCCATGCTCTTACTATATCCGATTATTATTTGGAAGGTGCCCCCAGCAGAGGTTAAACCCCCACCTGTATCTCTAACGGTTGCCATAGATGATATTTGCCTACTGTAAAGATACTGCTATTAGAATAATGTAGAGTTGTGCACAATCAACTACTAATATTTTTTGTTTTCCGAAATGTGAACTATATATCCATGAAAAACATAATATTGTTTGCGAGTGAATTGGCATTGACACATTACATATCATTTCCGTCAATTTGATATTGTCAAACAAAATGTAATGTAGACAGGGGCAGCGTTCTGACAACTACATATTTCTGGGTCAAGTAAACTGATAGAGGTATATCATTAACATATAATATCTCTATGGTAAAAGTGCGGTAATATTCATACTCATTCCAACTCTCTCGAATAAGAACCACATCATTCAATATTCAACGGGACCTGTACAAGATTTGATTTCATTATCATCGAACCCTAATCATTTTATCATGTACACATCTGCATTTCAAATCCGTTGGATACGGGATCTGTACAAGGTTTGATTTCATTATCATCAAACCCTAATCATTTTATCATGTACATATCTGCATTTCAAATCCGTTGGATACGGGATCTGTACAAGGTTTGATTTCCTTATCATCGAACCCTAATCATTTTATCATGTACACATCTGCATTTCAAATCCGTTGGATACGGGATCTGTACAAGGTTTGATTTCATTATCATCAAACCCTAATCATTTTATCATGTATGCATCTGCATTTCAAATCCGTTGAATACCTAATGTACGCTCAATCAGGAATTATATTTAAAGTTCTCCTGTTACCATCTGAATGTCAGGTAACTGTGTTGTTATATTAGTAATTGTGTTGTTGAATAGAGTTGTGTTCATAGTAGAGTTGATATTGGCAGCTGGTCCACCTAGATATTCGTCTCCACCCGTATGTAAAAGTCCTGTAATAAAAAATGTTTACAATTATTATATGTAGTAATATAGTAGGAAGGTAATCTTATATGAAGTAAAATTGAAAAATTTTAAAAATAATAATTTTTACCAGCGATGCAAGCAGTTGAAAAGGACGCCATGTTTGAAATTATCATAGCCCTTGGTCCGATCACTGTCAATATCCCCTTCCTTTTTGGGCTAAGCAGAGTACTCATCAAACCCATATACACAGTCATTGCGGCTAAGTTGCTCCATCCTATCAAAGCATATGTGGTCAGCATCGCGGAACGTTCCTGTTGGAGAAAGTACGTGAAAGTATGCATGTACATAACTCCCTCCAAAAGTTTGGCAAACTTAACCCCCCCCCCATTGAATTCTTTTTATGTTTGAATTCTTATAAGCATAATATGCGAAGAAAAAACTTTTTTCATAACAGGTTATGTAGATGTAAAGTCAAACATAAAGAGGATGTAATACGTTATCAAATGGGAGGTGGGCTAAAATAGAAAAACTTTTGGAGGGATATCAAATGTGGCCTGTACATATAGTTGAATTACGCTTGTGCCATCCGCTTTTATATAACAGTCAAATTCTTTAATTATTCAAAACTTGACATTTCTAAAACATAAACTTTACATACTGTTATTATATGCAGCGTTCTGTATTCTCCAAGTTGCATGAAAGCTACGGCATCGAGGACAAATATTTTAATTCCAATGAGACTTGCAACTTTCCCAGCGTCATTGGGGTCGCATCCCAAGAGGATAGCAAGTGGATAAAATACATAGCTGCAGATGTTCTACAAAACAGTTTAAACAATAAGAGATTATGACAATGAAATTGATAATTTTCAAGAAATGACCGAGAAAACATTATTTTTTTGATTTGTGTTTATCCTAGAAAAATACCGCTATCATGGCCATGGAGTTTAGATGATTACCGCATATCTTATAATTTAATCATTCCTAGAAAAATAGAACGATTAGTCGGGCAGTCTACCACTATTTCACATTTTACTAAAATGGTATTTAAACTAAAATGGTATTTAAACTAAAATTTGTATTTTCTAGGAACGAATTGAAATGTTTTATTGGAAAGGTAATTTTACCTGAAAGCTAAGTATTGGATGTCCGACAAGGCCACCAAAGTATGACAGGCATTTGTTCAAAAATGACACTATGCCAAGGAACGATATGAGAACAACAATTATTGTCGCGATGAGTTTCTTTGACTGCTCTGCGCCATTAGATGCTGCTTCCAAAGAATTCTTCTCTGACCTATAAATCCATACAATATATAAATCACCAAAATGATTTCCGTATGAATGCCTCAAATTCATATTCTTATACATGGTGTTCAAAAAACGCGACCCAGAGAAATCGCTTTATCTTAGAAAATACCTATCCAATTGTATTCATTTTTTCAGGAAAGAAAGAGGAGACTATATGTATAGAAACTGTTACTAGTTAGTTGTGTAACAAAATGCCTTGGACACCTGCTCAAAACACATTAGTATGAGAAAAATACGAAAATCGCATAACTTTCTTACTATAATGTTTTGGCCGTTCAGATTTGACACAAATTATTTTATTCAATGTGTGGTGAATTGGTGGTGTTTTTCGTATTTTCTAGTACGGATGTGTTTTGAGCTACACTGCCAATCTCAAACAGCGCTGTTTACTTAACAGTGCTGGACAGCGCTGTAAAAACAGTACAGTACATCGCTGTTTTCAAAAACAGTACTGTACAGGGCTGTAAAAACAGTACTGTACTACGCTGTTCAAAACAGGTGATACTAGAATAGCATTGTACATCGCTGTACAGCGCAGTACTCGAACTGCACTGTTTAGCACTGTTTACAGCGCTGCAAGATAATGTTGCGGATTGGGGGTGTAGTGTCCAAGACAACATGTTTAACGACTTATAAACTAAAGGAGCAATACATTAACAGTTTCCTCTTTCTTTCCTGAAAAAATGAACATTACTGGATTAGTATTTATTGAAGATATACCGATTTCTTTGGGTTGCGTTTTTAACACCCTGTAACATGAACATATGAACACCTTTTATGTCACTACCAAATAATGGTCATCCCTGACTGCGTTTTATAAATGTATTCGACTAATTACAAAACATGTCAGCTTGTTAATGTATGAGCATAAAAACAAATAAGAAAAAAATTATTCAACTAGCGAAATCCTATGACACGTCGCAAAAAAGTTCGCGCAAGTATTGTTACACATTTTTACTTTTTAAAGCCACAGAATGTGACGTTTTGAGAAAAATGTTCACATATGGAAATCATTTCGTCCTCCACATTTGCCTCTATATATCAAAATGTTTAAGGCGAATAAATCTGATATCGTATATGTATTAACAATGGGTTAGGGCCAATAAATGTATGTGTTGCTGTGTTTGAAAATAGGTAATGGCGTAAATTCGCCCTATTTCAATGAATTTTGAAAACCTTTCGTCCTCCACTTTTCCACATACAGCAGAAAAGACATACGTTATCGAACAAAATCAACTATTTAATTATTAATAAACTGGAGTTTATGAGCAAAATCAACTATTTATTGATAAACTTAAGTTTATGAGCAAAATAATCATGTATGGTTTATTAAAAATTGGTCTCGTATTTTTTCTTTAATGTTCACCTTAAAATGTTGAATGTAACAAAAATGAGCAAAAAGGTCGCTGTCGACAGATTATATGTTTCAACTATATGACGTCACAAAATGGGACGCTTACTAGAATTGATCCTTTGAAATAACACTTCCATCTTCCTTTATCAAGACGAAAATAAAGTCAAATATTCATTGAGCTATGAGCGTTTGAAGACGAAAAATTATTCAAAATGAAACGTGTCGACAGCGGATATTTGGCAGATTTTTAGGTTAAAAACTCCTTTCTAAAAAAGAACGCACGAGAATTGTGAAAAAAGTGTGCTTGATTTAAAAACTTAATTAAAGCAGCTTTAAAATGATATATAACTTAAATACGATTATTATCTTATATTCCAGAGAATTAAAGTTACATTTATGCGATACCGTAAAAACATAAATTCGCCAGCTTTTTGCGACGTGTCTATATGAACAGGTATATTTGATAAAAAAAACACAATGTATACAATAGTTGGTCACGAACGCAGTTTGTGCAAAGTTTTCAGAATTTAAAGTTGGATCATGGTACTCACACTTTTACAAATTTTTACTTCGTATTTGTCTTACCCAGGTGGTAGATTCACATCATTGGCGTTCCTTGTCTTAGAGACTTTTGTCTCGGGCCAGTTCACCTTTGCCAGCGCCATTGCTGCAGGGGCTGACATGATGGCTGCACTTAGAACGTGCTGAGCTGGCGCCTATAAATGCAGCAGATTTTGCAAAGGATGTTCAAACTCCATGTTCTTAGTTTCAATAGTCAATCGGAATATCGTTCTATTGTTGGCGGGTGTACTAAGACTACTCTGTAAATGGCTTTCAATTTCTCAAGTTATTCAATTTCATTAATATATATTAATATATAATTCGATCAAACATATAGTTTACAATAGTATATATACAAAATCATTGTATACACATTGTATACACATAATTGTAAACTGCTGGACCTTGTTTTGAATTTCTTACCCCAAACTCGATATAAATTGCAATGGCAAGCCCCGCAACTGTTGTCATTCCTCCAACCATGACAGCAAAAAGTTCCGAATCAGTCAGTATGGGGACAAACGGTTTAATCATTACAGCAGCTTCCATCTGTAATGACATACTGAAGATGAGTTCTTCTATTAATTATAAGTTGCACTTTGGTTAGCCATGCTAAACTCAGAAAGGCATACATTTTTCAAAATGTCTCCCAAGTACTTTTAATGCTTTTCCATATCAGTTAAAATGGTGTATATTTCAGATTAGTGATCACCTTTTCCCAATGTATTCAAGAAAATTTTCCCAAATAATACGAAGTTAACAGTAATGATGATAATACCAAATTATCAAATATATATCCGTGTCATAATTTTCCATGTACATATTTAATACTGTTTTGGAAAAAAATTTAAATAAACAAATTGTATGCGATTGGACTGTATGAAAATAGGCACGGCGTGAACATTTAAACATTAAAGGTCAAATTCAATCCATACAAATAAACATAGGACTCGCATGAGGGTGAAAGATGACTTATTCATGACATTGTCTCTTAAAGAGCATATTATTTTTTATATATCTGAGCCCTCACCATGCTAATGAAGATATTAGCTGCACAGCTGAACGATTCCACTGCAGTCGTACCCATCGTGAATTGCATAATGAAGGCCATTTTGCCTATGATCCACTGGATGACACCCCAGTAGTAGAGAACAGCAGCTACTGCACTGAAGTAAATTATGACTGGGAGAACCTAGTGGGAAGAAATAATATAATAATATATAGTAGCCGAGACAACACAAGTCCCAAGTCTGTATATTTACTCTCATTTCTTCACTTTTAAGAGTTAAGTCGCCACATTTTGCATGCAAATTCCTTGGAGAAATCCTAACGTAGAATTTCGTTGGTTTTGATTATAATTTACTTGGTAAAAATAGGGAAACATTTTATTTTGATTGGTCTATAATCAAAATTTACCATTTTGTGCAACAAATGCAACATTTTGACGTTATTAATAATAAAACTCCAAGTTATAAATGACAGATACAATATGGTGTCTCTAATCTTATTGACAATAACTATCATATTAGTTATTTTTTGCTAGTCATCAGATCATGCATTGGAAGTGTACCTCAATGAAAAATGGATTCATTGATAGTGGCAATTGAATTGTCAAAATAATATGTTGGAGTCGCACCATTATTTTGCCGCATTTTGGTGCTTCTTTTTCCATTTAAGGTCGGTTTGGTACCACTGTGATGTCATAATATATCATCTGATGTCATAATATGGGTACCAAATTGAAGCACACATTCCAAGCTTTAAGATGATACCAAATATGTCATCATTCATTTGATTATCCCACCGAACGAAGTTCGAGAGGGATATAGGAAAGCCGTCCGTCCGTCCGTCTGTCCGTCCGTCCGACTGTTTGTCCGGGCGATAACTCAAATACCGTTTCACGGATTTGATTCAAATTTTATAGGCTTATGCCTTATGGGTGTAGGACCTCTGCTCGAGAAGGAATTTTCAATATGGCCACTGAATTCAAAATGGCCGCCATTTTTCGTAAAAAATGTAATCTTTAATAACTCAAATACTAGTTCGCGGATTTGGTTCAAATTTTATATGCTGATGCCTAGGGACACAGTAGATATGTTCGAGTAAAAATTTTCAAGATGGCGGCTAGATATCAAAATGGCCGCCATTTTTCGTAAAAAAACTTAATCTTTGATAACTCAAATACCAGTGAACGGATTTGGTTCAAATTGTATATGGTGATGCCAAGGGACACAGTAGATCTGTTCAAGATACAATTTTCAAGATGGCCGCTGAATTTCAAAATGGCGGCCATTTTTCGTAAAAAAACATTATCTCTGGTAACTCAAATACCAGTGAACGGATTTGGTTCAAATTTTATATGCTTATGCCTAGGGACAAAGGAGCTTCGCTCAAGATGGGATTTTCGAAATGGCCACTGATTGTCAAAATATCGGCCATTTTTCGTAAAAAAAACGTAATCTTTGATAACTCAAATACCAGTGAACGGATTTGGTTCAAATTTTATATGATAATGCCTAGGGACACAATAGATCTGTTCGAGAAAGAATTTTCAAGATGGCGGCCTGATATTCAAAATGGCAGCCATTTTTCGTAAAAAAGGTAATCTTTGATTACTCAAATACCAGTTAACGGATTTGGCTCAAATTTTATATGATGATGCCTAGGGACAAATGAGATCTGTTCGAGAAAGAATTTTCAAGATGGCGGCTGAATTTCAAAATGGACGCCATTTTTCGTAAAAAAACGTTATCTTTTATAACTTAAATACCAGTGAACAGATTTGGCTCATTTTTTATATGATGATACCTAGGGACACAGTAGATCTGTTCAAGAATTTTTTTTCAAGATGGCGGCTGAATTTAAAAATGGTAGCCATTTTTCATAAGAAAAAACGTAATCTTTGATAAGTCAAATACCAGTGAACAGATTCGGTTCAAATTTTATATGCTGATGCCTAGAAACACAGTAGCTCTGTTCGAGAAAAAAATTTAAGATGGCGGCTGATCTTCAGAATGGCTGCCATTTTTCATTTTCATTTTCTTAATCTTTGGTTACTCAACTGCCGTTCGGTGGGATTTGCTACTCCGTGGAGTTGCTGTTTTTCTAGTTAAAATGGTAACTGGAATAAGCTCAAAAGGTATGCCACTCCCCTACCCCATCCGTTTTCCAGGTCAAAATCTCAAATAATGCAGGCATCTTCAGGGGTCGTTTTTAGACCCGTGTTATTTAAAATATCATGTTTCTGCATACCATTTTTCTCGGAAATGTCTCAACTACCTAAAACATTTGTGCTCAATAAGAAAACATTTGGTCATTCTGGAGTTATTTCATCAAAAGTAGACTTTTATTAATTTCGTCAAAATGTTGCATTTGTTACAAAATGGCAAATTTTGATTAAAGACCAATCAAAATCAAATGTTTCCCTATTTTTAACTAATAAATTAAGATTAAAACCAATAAAATTCTATGTTATGATTTCTCCTGGGAATATGTATGCAAAATGTGGTGACTTAACTCTTAAATGTGAAGAAATGAGAGTAAATATACAGACTTGGGACTTGAGTTGTCTCGGCTACTATATATAATCATTGGAATGGTTAATTGTTGTTGTTATAAATGCTATCATATATCGATGATTTCAAGAGACTTGGATTATATTTGACATAATGGTTATACCCATCGAACATTTTTGAAATTACAAAGGTTCATCATACAGGTTGTCCAAAGACAATTATACCCGAGATAAACGGATGAACCTTTGTGAATAATGAAGGAATATGCTTGAAATTTAGCCATATGACAGAACATTTAATTGTCATAAACTTTTTTTTAAATTTTTTACCAGGTAACCTTTTTTTGGGAACCTTGTATTACTATTTAAAATCATTGCATAAATCTGTCCATAGTATCTTGTTTTTGTTGCAGCAGAGTGGCACATTTTTGGAATGATCTATTTCATCAAAGCAATTATAATTAGTAGAGCTAACCCAAACTTTCAAAAGGACTTAGTAAAGCTTCAATGCCCTGTTTAAGAACTCATATTTTTAGTATTGAAAATTGTTTCTACCAAAACTCGATCAACGTGAGTTCTTCTGATCATGCGAAATGAGGATTTCAGCAAGGGTGCCATTGACTTAATATATATGGGGATGTGTATCTACATTTACAATGTAGATATGCAAGATTAAATCCAATCGTTATGGTAAATGAAAAAGTTATATAAAATAATTATTAAACGTTCATATACATCTCAATATCAGTCAATGTCATGTCATCCAGGGATGTTTGTTATACTGTCATTTACTATAAGGGAGAGCATATGCATCCTAACATAAAGAATGATCCATAAAAATGAGTAAAAACATAAATGTTGTATAATTTCCTTTGAAAATCAAAGCATATTGAGATTGGGCCAACCTTCATAGCAATCGGATGGTCAAGGTATGTCTTTTCGCCAAACACAAATTTCGCACCTTCGTCACTGTTACTTAAAAACTCTTGCACCTGGTCACCTGCGAAAAAAATCATTAATTCATAGTTTTGCATTAAATGGATTGATACTCTTAGAGGTATATTAAACGGTTGTTACATAAAAAAATCAAGGGAATGGTGTGCATTACATAGGTTATATCATTTATAGTTTGTACCTTTCATCATATTACATACCTATGAATTTGAAAGCGACATACCCTGCCGGCCATCGCAGGATGATAATAGCGAATATTAACTGGAGTCCAAGTCCCCATAATACTGGGCGCCATCTTACCTAAAAGTGTACAAGTTAATGGTTGTAACATGTCAAACTATTTATATAACACATGTTTAGTGGTGCACTCAGTAATAATAAGTTGGCAGTAAATCATAAAAGGATGTAAAATGATAGAAACAATCTTATCACATAACGTGTCAATTTGTCCATTATGATAAGAGGATAACAAGTTCCAAGTCAAATACATGCAAATATAATTTTTTCAGATTTTGGTCTTAGATTTATATCCAGAAATTAATTCCTGAATCCAAGTCAAATATTTTGAAAAGTAAAATTTTGGAGTATATTTTTTAATAGTCATTAGGGAGTTTAAGCTTGCATATAAAGTCAAAATGCCAACCTATACGTATCGCCCATACAAATGCATCGCTTAGATATTTTCTGTTCACGTTTTGCTTCTGAAAAACATTGCAAGCTTAAACTCCCTATTATTTGCAAACTACACGTCCAAATAAAATAGTAAATTTTACCAATGTTTTATTATATAAATCCGTTATTTTTCCTAGCATTGCTTAATACACAAAAATAAATGAAGTTCCTGAATGATGTAGCGAGTACTGACCTTAGAAGGGTTTGTAGACGACAAGAACGCGACCAAGTACAGAAACGCAAGGCCTCCTGCTGAAACAAGACGTTCTGGTTGCTGCCCCACATCAAATATAAGGAAGGCTATGATTCCTATTATCAGGGCTATATAAACGACCCTATAGAATAAAATACACGTGGTACAAGGGTATTACCAGAGAATATATACAATTAAAACAAGAACTCGACCAAGTACGGAAACGCAAAACCTCCTGCTGAAACAAGACGTTCTGGTTGCTGCCCCACATCAAATATAAGGAAGGCTATGATTCCTATTATCAGGGCTATATAAACGACCCTATAGAATAAAATACATGTGGTACAAGGGTATTACCACATAACATATAAAATACATGTGGTACAAGGGTATTACTCGACCAAGTACGGAAACGCAAAACCTCCTGCTGAAACAAGACGTTCTGGTTGCTGCCCCACATCAAATATAAGGAAGGCTATGATTCCTATTATCAGGGCTATATAAACGACCCTATAGAATAAAATGCACGTGGTACAAGGGTATTACCAGAGAATATATACAATTAAAGTAAGAACTCGACCAAGTACGGAAACGCAAAGCCTCCTGTTGAAACAAGACGTTCTGGTTGCTTTCCCACATCAAATATAAGGAAGGCTATGATTTCTATTATCAGGGCTATATAAATGACTCTACAGAATAAAATGCATGTGGTGCAAAGGTATTACCACAAAATATATAAAAGTAAAACAAGAACTCGACCAAGTACGGAAACGCAAAACCTCCTGCTGAAACAAAACGTTCTGGTTGCTGCCACACATCAAATATAAGGAAGGCTATGATTCCTATTATCAGGGCTATATAAACGACCCTATAGAATAAAATACATGTGGTACAAAGGTTTTACCAGAGAATATATACAATTAAAACAAGAACTCGACCAAGTACAGAAACGCAAGGCCTCCCGCTGAAACAAGACGTTCTGGTTGCTGTCCCACATCAAATATAAGGAAGGCTATGCTTTCTATTATCAGGGCTATATAAACGACCCTATAGAATAAAATACATGCAGTACAAGGGTATTACCAGAGAATATATACAATTATAAGAACTCGACCAAGTACGGAAACGCAAAGCCTCCTGCTGAAACTAGACGTTCTGGTTGCTTTCCCACATCAAATGTAAGGAAGGCTATGATTCCTATTATCAGGGCTATATAAACGACCCTATATAATAAAATGCATGTGGTACAAGGGTATTACCACATAACATATAAAATACATGTGGTACAAGGGTATTACTCGACCAAGTACGGAAACGCAAAACCCTTGCTGAAACAAGACGTTCTGGTTGCTGCCCCACATCAAATATAAGGAAGGCTATGATTCCTATTATCAGGGCTATATAAACGACCCTATAGAATAAAATACACGTGGTACAAGGGTATTACCAGATAATATATACAATTAAAACAAGAACTCGACCAAGTACGGGAATGCAAAACCTCCTGCTGAAACAAGACGTTCTGGTTGCTGCCCCACATCAAATATAAGGAAGGCTATGATTCCTATTATCAGGGCTATATAAACGACTCTACAGAATAAAATGCACGTGGTACAAGGGTATTTCCAGAGAATATATAAAATTAAAACATGAACTCCACCAAGTACAGAAACGCAAAACCTCCTGCTGAAACAAGACGTTCTGGTTGCTGCCCCACATCAAATATAAGGAAGGCTATGATTCCTATTATCAGGGCTATATAAACGACCCTATAGAATAAAATACATGTGGTACAAGGGTATTTCCAGAGAATATATAAAATTAAAACATGAACTCCACCAAGTACAGAAACGCAAAACCTCCTGCTGAAACAAGACGTTCTGGTTGCTGCCCCACATCAAATATAAGGAAGGCTATGATTCCTATTATCAGGGCTATATAAACGACCCTATATAATAAATGCATGTGGTACAAGGGTATTACCACATAACATATAAAATACATGTGGTACAAGGGTATTACTCGACCAAGTACGGAAACGCAAAACCTCCTGCTGAAACAAGACGTTCTGGTTGCTGCCCCACATCAAATATAAGGAAGGCTATGATTCCTATTATCAGGGCTATATAAACGACCCCATAGAATAAAATGCACGTGGTACAAGGGTATTACCAGAGAATATATACAATTAAAGTAAGAACTAGACCAAGTACGGAAACGCAAAGCCTCCTGTTGAGACAAGACGTTCTGGTTGCTTTCCAACATCAAATATAAGGAAGGCTATGATTTCTATTATCAGGGCTATATAAATGACTCTACAGAATAAAATGCATGTGGTGCAAAGGTATTACCACAAAATATATAAAAGTAAAACAAGAACTCGACCAAGTACGGAAACGCAAAACCTCCTGCTGAAACAAAACGTTCTGGTTGCTGCCCCACATCAAATATAAGGAAGGCTATGATTCCTATTATCAGGGCTATATAAACGACCCTATAGAATAAAATACATGCAGTACAAGGGTATTACCAGAGAATATATACAATTATAAGAACTCGACCAAGTACGGAAACGCAAAGCCTCCTGCTGAAACAAGACGTTCTGGTTGCTGCCCCACATCAAATATAAGGAAGGCTATGATTTCTATTATCAGGGCTATATAAACGACCCTATAGAATAAAATACATGTGGTACAAGGGTATTTCCAGAGAATATATAAAATTAAAACATGAACTCCACCAAGTACAGAAACGCAAAACCTCCTGCTGAAACAAGACGTTCTGGTTGCTGCCCCACATCAAATATAAGGAAGGCTATGATTCCTATTATCAGGGCTATATAAACGACCCTATATAATAAATGCATGTGGTACAAGGGTATTACCACATAACATATAAAATACATGTGGTACAAGGGTATTACTCGACCAAGTACGGAAACGCAAAACCTCCTGCTGAAACAAGACGTTCTGGTTGCTGCCCCACATCAAATATAAGGAAGGCTATGATTCCTATTATCAGGGCTATATAAACGACCCCATAGAATAAAATGCACGTGGTACAAGGGTATTACCAGAGAATATATACAATTAAAGTAAGAACTCGACCAAGTACGGAAACGCAAAGCCTCCTGTTGAAACAAGACGTTCTGGTTGCTTTCCAACATCAAATATAAGGAAGGCTATGATTTCTATTATCAGGGCTATATAAATGACTCTACAGAATAAAATGCATGTGGTGCAAAGGTATTACCACAAAATATATAAAAGTAAAACAAGAACTCGACCAAGTACGGAAACGCAAAACCTCCTGCTGAAACAAAACGTTCTGGTTGCTGCCCCACATCAAATATAAGGAAGGCTATGATTCCTATTATCAGGGCTATATAAACGACCCTATAGAATAAAATACATGCAGTACAAGGGTATTACCAGAGAATATATACAATTATAAGAACTCGACCAAGTACGGAAACGCAAAGCCTCCTGCTGAAACTAGACGTTCTGGTTGCTTTCCCACATCAAATATAAGGAAGGCTATGATTCCTATTATCAGGGCTATATAAACGACCCTATATAATAAAATGCATGTGGTACAAGGGTATTACCACATAACATATAAAATACATGTGGTACAAGGGTATTACTCGACCAAGTACGGAAACGCAAAACCTCCTGCTGAAACAAGACGTTCTGGTTGCTGCCCCACATCAAATATAAGGAAGGCTATGATTCCTATTATCAGGGCTATATAAACGACCCTATAGAATAAAATACATGTGGTGCAAAGGTATTACCAGAGAATATATACAATTAAAGTAAGAACTCGACCAAGTACGGAAACGCAAAACCTCCTGCTGAAACAAGACGTTCTGGTTGCTGCCCCACATCAAATATAAGGAAGGCTACGATTTCTATTATCAGGGCTATATAAACGACCCTATAGAATAAAATACATGTGGTACAAGGGTATTACCAGTGAGAGAATATATAAATTAAAACAAGAACTCGACCAAGTACGGAAACGCAAAACCTCCTGCTGAAACAAGACGTTCTGGTTGCTTTCCCACATCAAATATAAGGAAGGCTATGATTCCTATTATCAGGGCTATATAAACGACCCTATATAATAAAATACATGTGGTACAAGGGTATTACCAGAGAATATATACAATTAAAACAAGAACTCGACCAAGTACAGAAACGCAAGGCCTCCCGCTGAAACAAGACGTTCTGGTTGCTGCCCCACATCAAATATAAGGAAGGCTATGATTCCTATTATCAGGGCTATATAAACGACCCTATAGAATAAAATATTTGTGGTACAAGGGTATTACCAGAGAATATATAAATTAAAACAAGAACTCGACCAAGTACGGAAACGCAAAACCTCCTGCTGAAACAAGACGTTCTGGTTGCTTTCCCACATCAAATATAAGGAAGGCTATGATTCCTATTATCAGGGCTATATAAACGACCCTATATAATAAAATACATGTGGTACAAGGGTATTACCAGAGAATATATACAATTAAAACAAGAACTCGACCAAGTACAGAAACGCAAGGCCTCCCGCTGAAACAAGACGTTCTGGTTGCTGCCCCACATCAAATATAAGGAAGGCTATGATTCCTATTATCAGGGCTATATAAACGACCCTATAGAATAAAATATTTGTGGTACAAGGGTATTACCAGAGAATATATAAATTAAAACAAGAACTCGACCAAGTACGGAAACGCAAAACCTCCTGCTGAAACAAGACGTTCTGGTTGCTTTCCCACATCAAATATAAGGAAGGCTATGATTTATATTATCAGGGCTATATAAACGACCCTATAGAATAAGATACATGTGGTACAAGGGTATTACCAGAGAATATATACAATTATAAGAACTCGACCAAGTACGGAAACGCAAAGCCTCCTGCTGAAACAAGACGTTCTGGTTGCTGCCCCACATCAAATATAAGGAAGGCTATGATTTCTATTATCAGGGCTATATAAACGACTCTACAGAATAAAATGCACGTGGTACAAGAGTATTTCCAGAGAATATATAAAACTAAAACATGAACTCCACCAAGTACAGAAACGCAAAACCTCCTGCTGAAACAAGACGTTCTGGTTGCTGCCCCACATCAAATATAAGGAAGGCTATGATTTCTATTATCAGGGCTATATAAACGACCCTATAGAATAAAATACATGTGGTACAAGGGTATTACCAGAGAATATATACAATTAAAACAAGAACTCGACCAAGTACGGAAACGCAAAACCTCCTGCTGAAACAAGGCGTTCTGGTTGCTGCCCCGCATCAAATATAAGGAAGGCTATGATTTCTATTATCAGGGCTATATAAACGACCCTATAGAATAAAATACATGTGGTACAAGGGTATTACCAGAGAATATATACAATTAAAACAAGAACTCGACCAAGTACGGAAACGCAAAACCTCCTGCTGAAACAAGACGTTCTGGTTGCCGTCCCACATCAAATATAAGGAAGGCTATGATTTATATTATCAGGGCTATATAAACGACCCCTCCCGCTGAAACAAGACTCAGGGCTATATAAACGACCCTATAGAATAAAATGCATGTGGTGCAAAGGTATTACCACAGAATATATAAAACAAAAAAATAAGAATAAAATTGTGAATGCAGGGGTGACAAAAGTATGCTTATTTATAATACCATTTGTAAATTGTGGGTAAATCAACTTAGTCGAATCACAATCTTCAATTTTAACTATTAAATAATGAACATTTGAACGCTATTTATAAACATATTAAGTAGAATGAATTTGAGTATGATTGTAAATAACATGTTGAATATGAACTGAGAAAACAGCAATAATTGCAAACATATTTACTCGAAAATATAAACAATTTGACAACGATTTTCCTTTATTCTTACCATTTGATATATTTCCATTTCGATGATAAAGGTTTTTCGATTGGTTTGCAGCAACAGTTATAGATTTTTTCCCCGAACCTGTCTCTTATCTCACCGTATAGAAAACCCAAAACAACGAGACATGTGATGACGATAAGCGCCTTGGCTTTGGTCGGATTATACGCCACAGCGAACCCAAAATAGACGAAGAACAGAACAAGGAACCCGTATTTGGCAAACCGCCTAAGATGCTTTCCATATTTCTTAAAAATACCACTTATTGCAGTTTGAGCTATTTCGATGCCATGCATACATTTATTAGGTTCGAACTCTAAATCCTCAAAGTCCTCGAGTTCATCTTCTTCTAAATCAAGTTTAGTATCTTCTTGTGAATGTTTTTTCTTTTCACTAGCATTAATAGGATAAGCATCAGCTCCTCCATTCAATAGAAGATCGTTGTCCTTTTCAACATTAAGATCCTCGTAAGACACTGGGGTTTCATTCTGTGAACTTGATGGACTACTTCGGTCTTCATTTGAGTTAATATTATCATATACAGATGCCACTTTGCCATTACCTACAGCACGGTCATCCATTGGGACCCAAACTATTTCATTTACAAATTCTGACATGTTGCATATATATCTTTTCAGATAGAATCCGTCCTAGTTAATTATTAGTATTCTTCACTTTGTCGAAGTACTTCGGATAATTTGATTCGTGGATTTCCTTTGCACTAAGGCCGATAGTATCACTAGTACTCTCTTTGGTAAATATACAGTGATTTAAAACTATTCTCTAATCATAGCATGTACTTTTTACAAAATCAGAAGTCTTCGAGTTTTTAAAGTCGCATTACTCCTATTAACACATTCGATGTGTGGAGATTTTGTGAAAACATCGACAGGACATGTGTTTCTTTATCGCAAGATAAGGCCAACAATGCTCTTAACTTTTAAGTTGACATATATGTTGAATAAATATAAATATTTATGTCAACATGAGAGAGATTCATGTCTGAAGTCGTGCCAATTGCACTAAACATGGACACCAAAACTGTGATGTGATGTTAAGCAAACACCGATGACCATGGGCCGGTTTGAACCGTACCCTAGATGAACCATTTACAGTTACACCCCTGCATAAGCATGACATGTGTTCTTATGTGTATTTAATTATCTTCTATTGAATGATGCGTTTTTAATATGGATCAAGTGTACAATCATGGACATGAAGCAGAACAGTATCGAAGTAAAATGATCACTCTCGAGTGAAATATCCTCGTAAATAATATCATTGCCAACTTCAAGTATCCAAACGTGCTTTGAAAATTTTATCAAGTATAAGAGATCGTGTTTTATCATAGTTATGTATAATAGGGACAATATATGACCTCTGGTAGCTTATTATACTTGAAAAGTATCAATACAGGGTGATCATAAAATAAGATCGTGTTTTGAAAATGTAATCAAGTATTAGGTATAGTGTCTTATCATATTTAGGTACACTCCCCTCCATAAGTTTGGTAACCTTAGCTCCCCCATTGAACTACGTGTTAAAGCCTCTTTGCGTTTGAATTTTTATTTACTTAACCTGCTATGAAAATACTTATACTATTAATGGAAACGTATTTTGACTTTTTCCAATACCTCCAAATTTTCCAATTTTTTTCCTCAATTACAAAAGGTCGAAAATTGATGATTTGATGAATTTTTGGAAATCGACATTCCAATGTTAACCAATGGGAAAGGGTAGGTTTGCCGCAAGTCATATGACAGAATATCCATCCATCCGAGTCCTTGCAAAAATACGAGTTAGGTAGGCAAGGTAGGCTAACTTTATTTAACAAAAAAGTGATACGATTCTTCAGGTTCAACAAAGTTATAGGGCTTTAAAGTCAAAATTGTTTTTCAAAAAACTCTCCAATTGAAATAACACAGGAGGCGAAAATGATTTTCAAAAATTACTTTGAAGCTCTGTAACTTTAGTATTCATCAAGTGAACTGAAAACTTAGTGCACAAAAAAAGTTAGAAAATTCGATTTTCTATATAAAAATATTTTTGCTGAATTTTTTAACTGAATAGATATCCCGATTTCTGATTTGCCCCCGAACCCACCATTTACCATGGGTTTACATGGGCATGACGATTTTCAAAAATTCATCAAATTTATCATCAATTCTCGACCTATTGTAGTTGAGGAAAAACATTGGGAACATTTGGAGGTATTGTTAATAAAGTCAAGTTACGTTTTAAGCAATATCATAAGTTATTTCATTGCAGGTTAAGTAAATAAAAATTCAAATGTAAAGAAGCTTTAACACGTAGTTCAATGGGGGAGCTAAGGTTGACAAACTTATGGAGGGGAGTGTATATTAGGGACAACATTTTGCATCGAATAGTTTACCATAGTTCAAAAAAGTATTAATATATCAACAGCGAGAGGGCCAATAGTTGGAAAGCATTTCATTTCATTAGTACTATTAATTATTTCATATTCATTCAGACCCCTAATCATACATGTTCTTTCTATTCACAAATATATTTATATATATATATATTATACAGGTCATCTACAGGTATGTTAACACTTGTAAATTTTGATTAACGATAGACAATCATTGACAAATACTAAGATATCGCTGTTATATTTTTCATAAAGTAGTAAGAAAATCAAGACTATCAAAACACTTTGAGGAATTGGCACATTGTATTTAAAATCACTTTGATGATGCGTTCGAGAACGAAATAGAGAAGAAAATATTGCGTGATTTAAAAAATACGTTTAAACATGTTTTACATTGCATACATTGCAATGATGATTTTCAAAAATTCATTAACTTTGTCCAGCGTGTTTAGCACATTTTCTGATTCATTTTGAGTTAATGTCAACATTTCTGTGTAACTACATGTGACAAAAGGTACATATACATGCTTAGTTCACTTGGATCATTTTTATACATATGAGAACATTTAAAACATTTGATTAAATTGGTGATATCAACTTCATTATCATGTCATGGTTGTTTCAATATGAAAACATAAACACTTTAAATCATAAAATGTAATGTTTAGGCCTCCGGGTTTGCATTCTCATTAATATAAAATGTTGGCGTCAACCAATCAAAATATATTTCCTGGTATGAAGACGTTCAGCTATTAACATTACGTTTGCGTTAATTTATTATAAAATTATTAATATGTTAGTCTCGCTGACAAGAAATGATTTTCTTTCAAACTATAAATTATGGTTAAACGGAACATATTTGCACCATTTGTCATAGAAAAAGGTATGTGACTGTAACGCTGTTGTGACTGTTAATATTTGAATATATATATTTTACTAATTCTGTTTACTTTGCTATCAATGAGTTAACCATGAGGTCCGCCTGGATCGTATGTATCATGTCTTGCATTATTTACAATACTCTGGATTTAGCAGATTCTTCGATATTAGAATCTGAAAAATATATCTATTCTGAGATATCAAAGGACAGACTTCGAGTCAATGCAATGCAGGTATGGTTTTCAGGTATCTCTAAGCACAGATCTTATTTTTAGAACTATTAGAACTTTTGTGTCATCGTGATTTTGGGTAGGTATTCCAGTCGAAAGAAGAAATTTCAGTTTGGGATACATAGAGATTTTCCTATATGAGGCCAGGATATTGAGATTATCCAGAGGCCAAGTATAACAATACTAGTGGAACCCACATTCTTATAACAAAATAAATGAGCTTCCGTCAGAGGAAATTTTTATTTTCATTATTAATAGGCAAAACACCCATAGTTACCCAAATGCAAGTTGGCATATATTGACATGAATATGATTGGCTGAGTGACATGCTTCGTCATATGGTTCACATGCATGGATTTCAAATTTAAGCTTCGATTTATAACGACCACTACTTGAATAATTGACATGGTATATGACAGTGATATAATAATAAGAATTATTATTTCAATGCTGGGACATTCTTTTCCCTAAAATATATGAAAGGTATACCATCTATCCCTGCTAAGGAAACATTTTGTAGATTGTATACCCCGACAGAGACGTCATTTTAATAAAATACACAGTGGACAGGACGTCGCATCACTTTATTCATGAGCATATAAAAAAGTTAAAGTCCCCGATAAATCGGGCTACGTATACCGCCGTGTTTACATAAGGGGATTAGAAGAGTTTATTTTTTATTTAGGTATGCAAGCTATATCAGTATTAGGCCTTCATGCATGTACCCGTGTGTACAATTAGCATGCCCTTCAATATTATATATACCAGGCTATTCAAGTACTAATGTATACTATTTATGTGTGTACTACATGGGAATACAGTTCCCTGGGAAACAAAACACAAATACTTTTTATATGTTCAAAATGAGCCATTTGACCGATGCATATCTACAAAGTATATCTAATAGTAATTTTCAATTTCAATGGTGAAACTTGCCTGGTTACGATAATACAGGAAATCACCACGGGACGATGATTGTTCACCTCCCTGGCTTACCTCTGAAGCCTGTACCCTGTAATCTCTACATATAGGTTAGCGAGAGCGCTGCGCCTGCGCAGTTTTAAACTTTGGCGCACACTTTAAAAGTATTTTCATCCAACATGTCGATGGTGAAGCTATATCGGGAAATCCTCCCAAGAAAAGGTTCAAAACTGTACAACAAACGGATAAAGATAGGACTCTAACAAATGTATTCAAAAAGTCAACTTTTCAAAGCAACGGTATACTTCTTGATATGAGGAGTGGAAGCAATGCAGGTGGTATGCTTTCAAAGTATCTCATATTTTATAGTGTTTAATACTTATAAAAGTACAAGATACGTCCTTTCCTATCAATAGTAGTTTAGATTAAATGCTTGGGATAGCAAAACGTAAAACAAACCTACATTTATGGCGTGACTAGGCGCTCTGGCACTTTCAAATTGGATTTCATTTAGCATTTGAACTTGACCTGAAACAAATTTCCACCAAATTTGGTTCACCTTTCGTTTTCCTGAAGAATCATGTTAGGAGTTGTCTTTCAATTAGATCATCTTATTTCAAGTAACACTTTATTTGGAATTTATTAAAACTACTGTATAACTTAAAGTTATAGAAAAAACGACATATTAGAATTTACCCGTAAGACATCGATGCTCAATATGAGTTTTAAAGGTCCTTTTGTGACCATGTCATTCCGTTTCAGTAATTTTTAATAAAAACAACAATGGAATAGACCAATCAAATTGTACTTCCTTGTTAGATGAGGTTCGTCAAGGAAATAGGGATGTGACTATTTATTTATTTACAAATTTTATTTGCTTTGACATTTAGGAATTCACCATGAAGACCGCCTGGATCTTCTGCATTATTTTCTTTATACTTAACCATGGATTGGATTTCGTAGGATCGTCGATATTAGATTCTAACGAGCTGAGCGTTTATCTATCAGAAATATTAAGAGACAGACTTGGGGTCAACGCAATGCAGGTATGGCTTTCTCTAGGTATAACAATTCTTATTTCAATAACTTTTTACTAATGCATGCTGGAGTGGTTTCGGGGGAAAGATTATTTGAGATTTTTTTGCAGGAAATCATTACCTACTTTTGCAGAATTTTACTTCCTATTCTTCAGAGACCATCCTCGTAGCAGCACTTCTCGTAAGGTGAATTTGGAAAGAAGCCCGAATTCTTGCTGTAGTAGTTTTTGCCTCTTTTCTCTTGGATTTCAGCTCAGCTCCATCATCCTCATATACATTAAGCTCTGTCATCTTTCATTGAGGCGTTGAGTTAAGTACACCTATTTTTCCTTGATGGGCACCTTTCCAATTATAGACTGAGGCTTTTCACGGTGTTATAGCATGACGGTTACGTCAAGGCGATTTGCAATTTTTTGCGGTAACGATAACAAAAAATGGCGGATGGGAAAGACAGCATGTCCTATTTCTCGCCTGCAGGCAAGGTTCAAAGGTAAGATTTCCTTTTCAACTAGTTCCATCCGGTGACGTTTACATGGATGGACTGGGTCAAATCTGCCAGGTGGTTTACTAGAAGCAGAATATAAGCTGTAAACCTACCGACTGAGAGGTAACCGGACAACTCATCCCCTAGACAACTCATCCCTGGACAACTCATCCCCTAGACAACTCATCCCCTAGACAACTCATCCCCTGGACAAGTCATCCCCTAGACAAGTCATCCCCTGGACAAGTCATCCCCTGGACAACTCATCCCCTAGACAACTCATCCCCTGGACAACTCATCCCCTGGACGACTAATCTTTTGGCATGTTTGAGTATAGTAATTTTTTGATATTATATTACCAATTCAAATGTTTAAATGTTTTGGTTGTGGATATGGTCAGCTTTAAGTTTCAAAAAACATATATTACATGAACACTGTTACTCCACTCAATTACGCTGTTGATCCGTTTGGGTAACAAAATGTTGGAGCCTCGAAGGTATATACGATTTTTCTTTTTTCCTTATTTCACGAGTTGTAGGCTGAATTCCCATGACATTCTATGTCTCGCTTTTGAAACTTTATGAAAACAGAACTTCTAAAAGGTTAAGATCTGCACTTCTAACCCGTTCCGTTTATGCATGGGCTTTCAATTAGATATGGTTTATGTAACAATAGTGAGGTATTAAATCAACGATTCTGTTGTCTTCTGTACTATTTGTTTGCAAACATGTACATTTTCTTAAACATATGATACCGACAAACGTTTGTGATAAAAATGTCGTGGGAATTCTGCCTGCAACACCGGAATTAGGTAAAAATCAAAATCGATCGTTTCTTTGAGGTTCCGACATTTTGTTACAATCCGTTTCAGTAACCAGCATAATCTATTGGAGTACCAGTGATTAACAAAACTTTCTGGAGGGGAAAATTGCTAAAAAACAAAGAGATAATCAACCAATTAATCTGTGATTTGTTTTGTAAATATTTACTTTTCATTTCGATATGATATTAATTAACCAGAGACATATAAAACAATATATGTCTCTGTATTAACATTGATTGAACAAGTTCCTTTGATGTTATAATATGTTTGTTGTTCATAGCTCAAATATTCTTTAATCCAAAGATTATTTTTTCACAGCATTCACAGATGAAGTTAATGAAGTTCATGTTTAAGTTATACACAAAGAGAATTTTATTTGTTTGGTCAGGAAATATTGAGTCATGTAAAATAAGAAGAAGAGATGAGAGTTTTTGATGGCATCGTTTGACTGTTTATTTGTGTCAGTAAAGTGAAAAATAATATTTTGAATGATCTAAGATGTATTTACTAAGCATTTCTTTTCAAGACACACTTTACAATTTAGCTTCATGTGATGAAGGATGAGTTGTCCAGGGGATGAGTTGTCTAGGGGATGAGTTGTCCAGGGGATGAGTTGTCTAGGGGATGAGTTGTCCAGGGGATGAGTTGTCTAGGGGATGAGATGTCTAGGGGATGAGTTGTCTAGGGGATGAGATGTCCAGGGATGAGTTGTCTAGGGGATGAGTTGTCCGTAAGCCGACTGAGATATCCAAGTTCATAATTTTTGGTCCATTCTCGTGTTTTCTCAGTACATGTGCCTCAGAGCCACTCAGACTATTAACTGTAAGTAAACTGTGTATAAACAAGGCATGAAATGACAAATCCAGAACAGGAACGTGGTGTATATCGTAAATAATAAAATTTCAAACGCAATGTCGTTAGACGACTACGTATGACTTCTATCGAATGCTATGGACGGTAACGTATTGTATTAGTTGTACATAAGATATTTAGCGGACGGTTTACGTGCCTGTACATCTGTCAAATCAGAACATATTAGGTGGTTTCCAACGCTCAATTGGCTTTGTATGATCGTATGTAGGTTACATCTATATACTTGTACCCAAGGTTTTTAGGCAATGTAGACCATGCCCTAACAACAAAAATAAACAAATTACTAAATTTTGTGAAGTTTTGAATTTCAAACTCGACAGTTTTTCTCTTATTTCATGTTATCCCCGGGCATTTTATTGAATAAATCAGTGAACGTAGCCGTCTAACCTCGTTTTCAGAGGTGGCGTAACCATCATGCTACAGCAGGGTGCTTTCATTTGGCATTTTATTACGCAAGCACTAATGTTCCCTATTAGTATGAATTGGGTACACAAGCTGACAAGTAGGAAGTTTCATTGTAAATGCAGAGAGAATAGATTCAGATCTGCATGGCCGTTTTACGATATGCTAATGTTGGGATTACAAAATTTGAATTCAAACAGACGCCATTTTGCTTAAGAATTTGAATCACATAGAATTTCGAAACATACAGAAAGATATTGGGATATCATCTTGGGGATCCTTTTTACGTAAAAATCAGCACTGGAAATTCAAAAAATATCGCCTTATTGGAGTCACGTGACAGTACAAAATGGCGGACGTTTATGTTATCGCAGTTGTGAAATTCTCTTAACTTGAATTACAAATTACTCATAAAATACTCGTATAGCACTTCGACACAAATCGCTACGAAAATGGTTGGGTGCTGTATTTTATCATTTGTTTAGCTCAGGTATTCCTAACGTTGTGCAAACCATATAAGAGGGAGAAACTCTCTAACATTCGAACGGTGTACACATTCGGTTCCTCAGTTAAAGGTGATTCTTAATTGAAGTCACAATGTTTTTTGTTGTGTTATCCATTTTTAACACAACCTATGTTTTTACCATACACCAATTTTACACAACAACATATGACTAAATACCGTAACATTGTTGTCAGTCATAATATTTCCAATATGTTTTAGAATCATCTCGACATGGACGTGAAATTCTTAAAAAGAATTGTGAATTTTGAGGCTGATTTAAACAAGGTATAGTTACGCATTCTAATGCACTAATTAAATGTGCCATTGCAAGCACTTTAAAAACGGATTAACCAGTTTCGCCATATAGACTATTCCTTTATAGCAAACCATAGATAGTAGAGCAGAGAATGTAGTATGGTATGGACGTAATTGGAGATTTAAGATGTTAAAACTTTTTGGAAACCTTGAAATTAAAAGGATCATCATTGAATAAAGTCAGTGTATTGAATAAGTCAATGTAGAATTGTGACATTATATACTTTCAACTAGCCACGTATGATTGGTATTGAATAATTGTATTAAAGCCATAATTGTAAATAGCCTACAACTTATGGCCTAGTCACATAGCCCGGCCGATGTCCGGCATCGGTAGAGCTCGGTGGATTTTTTTGGTGCCACCGAGCTCTCCTCATCGGAAGCAGAGCTCGGTGACGTGAACGGACTCCGTCCGGACATCTTCAGGTACTATACTTTCCAAGGCTCTGTCCCACATCGGCCGGAGCTCGGTCGGAGCTCGGCCGGTGTTCGTTAAAAAAACCTCGTCCTCTGGTTGTCTCAGATGCACGGGACACCGACCGATACTCGGCCGTGCACCGGCCGACGTGTGTTCTGATGTGGTTACGATGGGGCTGCGATGAGGGAGCTCGGTGAGAGCCCGGTGAAATTTAACTCCGAAGTTAAAATTTCACCGAGCTGCCACCGATGCGGTTTAAAGCAACAAACGCCACGGATGTCCGGCCGGTGTTCGGCCGAGTTTGGTGAAAATTGCATCGCTGGCTCATCGGAACCTCATCGGCCGGGCTATGTGACTAGGCTATAAGAGTACACATCAAAATAGAAGCAATAATTAGTGAAGTAAAATATACCTTGATTTCCAGCTCTCTGCTTCTTTAGACGCCAAATTCAATAGTTATATAAATGCAGCTCGTAAACTTGAGGATGTCATTGAGAGAAATTATGGAAACTTTACTAAAAGTCCTACCCAACAGGAATGTTGTCACAGCAGACCTCGAGAACGGGACGAACGATTTAAAGCTAAGGTAGAACAATGTCTAGAAATTGATTGATCATTTTTGTTATCTACTTTTGATTGGGGGGGGGGTGGGCGTATTTATTGTTATATATATACAGGGTGTCCTGAAAGTATGGGCCCCCATAGGCAGACATATTCCAGTGTCCTCATAGTATGTGTCATATATCATTTTAAAGCTTATCCAAAGTTACATTGATTTGCAAAGTATCATGGTTTAACACCCAAATGGGAAAAAATTACACCGTTTATATGACACATACAATGACGACACTATGTCTGCCTAGGGGGTATACTTCTGGGACACCCTGTATATGTATATACACAAAGTTTACACTATCGATAATTATTTTTCAAGGTCGATTTGGGCAACTGGTGTATTCGAATATCGGAGACAGCGCCACGTCAAGACCAACGCGTGTACTTTCACTCAGAACTAACTGAAGTTATGAAGGAAAATATGAAGTAGGTGGTATTATCTTATCATAACTAGAGTCTAGGAATAATAACCATTATGAAAGGGGTATTTTTTTAGTTGAAGACAAGAACTTGATACGTGTAGAATTTTCTACTCTTGCAGCGTCACTATGGATTTCCCTGTGTTATTAAGGATTAATCGTTGCATTCTCTTTATCTTGCATAAAATATGCATTATTCAAATGTTGTATCATTAAGAAATCTACCGAAAATAAAATGGCAGTACGTTGGCACCGAACAAGGCATAACGATTACGTACCCAATGGCAGCTATGGGAACGTGTGGCGACTATGACAACCGATTCAGGTGAGTTTTACGACAAAAAGTAAATTACTTCATACAATTTGTTGTTTTAGGTTGGAACGCTATTTGAAAAAAATTCGTGATATAATAAATCGTGTAAAATTCATCACACAGTCAATGTGAAGAATAAGGGGAATAATGAACATCTTATGCATTATTCCTATTCGTCTTATTCAGAATTGATAAGAATTCTCGGTGATTGCGGCTCCGACTGTTTTAAGGAGTACCTCAGTGTGTCAGATGATATAAGCATCAAACTTGCTAAGTCACTAGTACTTCTAAACGACTTACCAACAAAGAACATTTTGTTTCACATAATCACATTTACTATGTACTGTGTAAATATTTTTTACAATACAATATGTTACAAGCCTATGTTTAAGTAGCATGTTTGGCTTATTATACAATTCTCCCAATAGGAAAAATAATGTTATATATTTAAAATGTTGAATATGGCATAACTTCACAAGCAGATTAGAACTATGTTTACTATTAAGACTTTCTTAAATTAAATTTCATTATCTTGAATTTCTTTCATGTTGAAAATCTTTTTTTCAGACCATGGTATGTTGAATCCGCCACACCCGAACCAAAGGATGTTGTTATAGTTATAGATAAATCGGAATCAATGGCTACAGTAGTGCCACATGGTCGGTCTATGTCGAGATTAGATGTTGCTAAAGATGCTGCAAAGTCTGTCCTCGATACACTTAACCCTCTCGATAGAGTATGTGGAATTCAAAAAATTAAAATGTTGTAATTATTATATTGATATATAAATTAGAATCGATGTTTGGCTATCATATTGTGATATTGTCACAACAGTCAATTTTAAGTCTATCACGAGATTTGATGGTGCTACAGATGCTGTAATCATTGTTATTACTTTTGAAATATGTACGAACCTTACAAGTTTAATAGCCTGTGATATATTAACATAAACAAATGAAATAATGCCTAGCTACCAATTGATGTAGTCAATTGATACAGTCATCCTCCGATCGCTTCAAAATCCAGAATATATTCTTTCCTTTTACAGTACATGTACAGGGTGTTAAAAAAAACGCAACCCAAAGAAATCGCTATACCTTGGAAAATACTTATCCAATTGCACTCATTTTTTCAGGAAAGAAAGGAGAGACTGTGCATGTATAGGTCCTGTAGTTATTTACTTGTAAAACATGAAGCCTTGGACACCTGCTCAAAAGACATTAGTATTAGAAAGATACAAAAAACGCAGTCAAAGGTGACTGCCACAGCAATAAAACTGAATAACTTTTTAACCGTAGTGTTTTGGCACTTCAGATTTGGCACAAATTATTCTCATTCAATGTGTGGTGAATTTGTGGAGTTTCATTAAAATCACTCCAGGGACTTTAGAGTCATGGTCAAAATGCCTTCTTAAGTCTGCCTGAACCAGGGCGTTTGACTGCGTATTGAACTCATTTCGACCATAACTGTAAAGTCCCAGGAGTGATTTTGATTTCACTCTACAGATTTACCATACTTTGAATGAAGATGATTTGTGCCAAATTTGAAGAGCTAAAACACTATAATTAGAAAGTTATTCGGTTTTATTGCTGTGGCAGTCACCCCTGCCTGCGTTCTTCGTATCTTTCCAATTCTAATATCTTTTGAGCAGGTGTCTAAGGCATCATGTTTTATAACTAACCAATTACAGGAGCTATACATACACAGTCTTTTCTTTCTTTCCTGAAAAAATGGACACAATTGCATTAGTATTTTCCAAGATATAGTGATTTCTTTGGGTTGCGTTTTTTTAACACTGTATATTATATTGACGATAGTTGAGAAAGTGAGAAAAAAATAAGAGTTTATAATCCGTATGTTTTGCAGGTTGCAGTTGTTGGGTTTTCTGGAAAGGCATACGTGGCTCCTGGAGATCATACGAAAAGCTCATGCTTTGGCCATCAACTGGCTCTAGCAATTCCACAAAACATGGCAATTCTTAAAAAGAATATTGACGGTTTCCATGCCTCTGGTAGTACAAACTATGCCAATGCACTAGAAAATGCTTTCTCGCTGTTTAGAAGTAGTGCTGATTTGGAGTACAATTTAGCAAAAAACAGAAGTGAGTTTAGGACAATTTAAAGGTACACTTCCCTCTAAAAGTAATGGCTAACTCACCATGGATCACTCGAGAGAGTAGTCCATGGTATGACTCTAGAATATGAAAAGTCCGTTGCACAATATAGCGCAGCATGATTTGAACCAATATTTAAGGAGGCCCCAAATTTTTGATTTTTTAAAATACCGTTTTCTTAATATGTCTTTCATTACAAAGGGTCAAAAATCGTAAATATATTCATTCGTAATTTTACACATTTTGAGATCTTAGGCGTTAATCTGAACATATATACAATAAAGTAGATTATCATTATGTGAAAGTTAATTATAATTTTAAGTGGTTAATTAGTTTTTTCAAACATCGGTCAAGCAGATTCAACAAAACTGTGTAATTATGATTTTTCTGTGTTAAGCGATAGTTTATTTGCATATAGCAATTCGTCAAGATTTTCTAATTCAGAGTTGACATGAGTAATGAGAGTACTTAGGTTTTTATGTGAGCAGAGAAGGTTTGTATCACCAGCAAGGATAACAAATTTAAATATAGAAGATGTCGTAACAGTCATTAAAGCTTACACTGGTATTGCGTTTTTATGTTCTGCAGGCAAAGCCATTCTTTTTCTTACGGACGGGATACCAACTGATACTATGATAGAAAATGTATACAGAACAATTGAAACTGGGAATGCAAAGTTGCGAAATAAAGTTGTGATACTTACATACGGTATAGGTGGAGGTAATCAAAAATAATTTGATGATTCGCAAACAGCACCTGCATGTATGCATTACATTAGAGGAAAGCTACGAACTTAAATTAAATGATAATCTTTTTTTGTCGTTTGCTATCCTATGCTGTCGCTTATTTGCTATAATATGGAGTATTTTCTTAGTCATTAAAGTTCCAAAGTATAATTCATTATGCAACGGTATGCTTAAAGACTATGTCTGTGATGCCATAACGGAGGCATATTTGTCTTTCAAGAATTATCATTTGCATCTAGTTTCCATATTTTCGAAAGTCATCTAAATACTGTACTAGATTAGTATCGTCCAAATCAAAGGGTATTTTGTGAAAAAAAAAGAATATAAGAAGAACAAGATAGAAAATGTCATTCTTCATTAACTAAAATAAATGAATATGTAAATTATAAAATTATATTTTCATTGTAGCGGCTGCACTTGATGATGCTATTTTATTAAAGATGGCTAAAATGACATCATTAAATGGTAGGGTTGGTGAATATACAAGTGTGGGTGATATAAAAAATCTCCGACACGATATGTCCTCATATTATAACTTCTTCAGCAACGTTGAGTACGACCATCCTATAATCTCAACCCCATATATGGATGCATGGGGATTAGGTAGGATTACTTTAATTTGTACATGTTGAGTTTTGTAAATGTAAGCAGGAAAATATCTCAGTTGTTTAGCATGGAGTTGAAATCATTTTTAGCACAATTAAACCACGTTTAATGTCCTAACATTCTACTTAGTTTCATTGATTTATCCCAATGGTCACGATCTGATTAGCATTTTACTTGCAATCTTCGGGAAATGGGCGAAGTTATTTATTACATGCTCAAAACCATTGTGTGTAATTACTCTCATCTTCCCGAGATTTTCTATTTTTAACTCTCTGATGCTTCTAGGGTTGTTATTGTTGACATTGTCTTTGATTGGGGACCATGAGATGAGGTTGGCATTATGATCACAATTCGTAAAGTGGCCATAAAATCGTGTCCCCGATGGTAAATCAATTAAAAATGGTAGAATGAAAAAGCATAGAACACGGTTTAATTGTGCTCGATATAACCCATGTTAAATGACTAAATCATGATTAATTACATATTTTCGACTCAACCCGTATCATACAATTGATATTACAACGAGATGCTCTCTAGAGCTTTTCCTCTTAAGATGCGTACTTTTTCTGAAACCTTCGTTGTATGTTATATACCAAATGCAAATCCACATATAATAACCTCAACCGCAACATGCTCAATACCACACACTTGTACCAATCCTTTAATTGCTTCTTAACATAGCACTTTACGTGTGTGTCACTCTGTTAGTCTGTTTTGAAGAAATCATATGGAGCGCAAAAATTAATTATTGAGTGTACTTCTGGTCCCAGTTCCCCCCACAATTACTAGGATAATGAAGAAAATTTTTCTTTCTTAGGAATGGTTACGTCGATATGTCTACCTCTCCATTATAAAGCGAAATTTAAGGGAGTAGTTTGTGTAGATATGACAATGGAAGACTTAACGGAAGATGCAACGTATTTTACGGAAGGGGAAGGATCGTATACATTTATCATTGATAAGGAAGAGCGTACCATGGTTCATCCATTACTCCCAAAACCATATTTGATCGAGGACGATCCTATTTTTGTTCCTGTGCATAATATTGAACATTGGTCCGAGGTTGAAAGCATTATTACATCCATGACTAGTGGAGGGAATGGCAGGAAAACTGTGACAGCACAACAAGTTTTTTCTAGGGGTGCAGCATCTATGGAAGGAGTGTACACTCGGACTATCACATCTACGTATGGTTGGACTCCGGTAAAATAGTTTTCTTTTTACAGAGAGACTTAGTAGTGACTGATTATACTTTATTTACTATAAATACGTTCCAAAACATCGTATTTTCGTTTAATAGTTAAACAATAAATAAAACGAAGGGTTTTCTGATGGTCAGAATTCTGAATGGTCATATTTATTTATTTTTATATTCAAAATGGTTACAATTATTTTAGTCTAGTCTATCTATGAAATACCTTATTAAGAGACAACAGCAAAGTTCTTGTATGAAGATTTTTTGCATTTTTAGTTTATTCATGATGTAGAAACTGCCGGATGCCAAGCAGGGAATTTCTTGATGGCCAATTTGAAATGTTTGCACGTTTTTGGTTAATTCTTCATCAAATTAAACCCTGAAATAAGTATTATTGAATCAACATATAATGCTAAATAATTTAAGCTGACATACGCGTAGCCATGGGGGTGCAATGGGTGCCCCCTCCTCCCCTCCCCTTAACCAATAAAAATAAAACCATGAGAAAGAAGAACAAAATAGCTTTAAAATGCTTTTTATTTGAAGCTTCTAGCTCAATTTTGAAGGAAGTAGCATCAATTTTTGTACAATTCAAAATAAATCTTTTTTGTTGGCTTGTTTATGCCACAATCGCATCCCCTGACTGGAAAATGATGTACTTCTACGTTCAACTCTAGAAACATTTATATTAAGATATGTTAGTTGAAGAATTGAAACGTGAACATCAATCGCAAAGGTGGCCATCTTGAATTTTGCGCATTTGGTTCACGTTTCAATCCTTACACGTAGCAGTACATCATTTGGACATGATCGAGCATCAATGGAGTTATTGAGTAAAATATTTCCTATGGACATAAACAGACAGGTTTTGACTTTTGATCTTCCATCTACAATATATGTCCGCTGTTTTTCGATTTTGTCTGTTTATGCCCCTTTATGTCCCGTGAAAAAAATAAACAAATCAATTATTTTCATGGCAATGCCCCATAAGTGTACAGCAAGTTTAACACTAAGTGTATTGTTTTCCTTAGAATGTGTCAAAATATGCTATGAAGAATTTTTCGAGTTCATTAATGGGATAACGTATACCACCAACCTAAGAAATATATCATTATCATACGAGTGGTATGTATGGATATCTTTAATGGAGCCACCAAATTTGGTATTATAAGTTGCAAATTCTGCAAAACTGGTGTCAATATGACAAAATCCAAAATGGTTGCCAAAAATCACCTTGGAACTGGTCAGTTTCTGCAGCTTGTGCATATATTTAAACATCATGTATAAATTGAAAATAACAAAAAAATTCATATAATAGACACTGCAAGTTTTTTTTGCTCTACAGATAAACGATTTTATCTTTTAACACATTTCGTTATTTCTTCGTGCATACATATTATTTCACGATCATTTTAGATTAAAGGAACAAAACTGTCCCTCTGTATGGTGATCCCTAATGACGATGTTGTATATGATATTGCTAAGAGAGAACCTTTAGATGAATTTTACTATCACCGTATCGATATGAACAATATTGCCAAATGTAAACATTTTGATAAAGCCCCTGTAATTAAAGGTAATAAAAATATGCAATTGACACATGATTATTCATAATTAGAAAAAACTGTTAATGTTTTCATACTTCCCAATTACTCAGATGCGAGTAGGTAGTTACCAGTTTCGCCACCAGGTGGCTGACTCGGGGGAAATAACATGGCAGGGTATCACAAAATTCCCTTAAACTTGAATATTCATCAGTTTTAGTGGTTCACTTTTCATATTACCCTTATGTATGTGATAGTTATACAAATTAAAATATGTCCAGTAAAAGAAAATATTATCTGCCCAACACAAGAAAAGATATTTCACTTTTTGTGGATTTACAACATGGGCTCTATGGGGAATCTCCCCGACCTAGAAGTCACATTTTCAAAGAAAATTAAATTTTCAAAGTTGATAAACTCTTTTCAAAACCACATTTCTAGATGTAATTTTACATGTAGATTCCAAATATGACATCAGTTTGACTGAATTGTGAATTTTAAAAGATGTAAATCAAGATTATTTCTACTCGCATCTAGGATATTACACCGATTAGAAAAATCTTAAATACAATGTAATAATATATACACTGAGCGTTTTAAGAAAGCGCCAAAAGTGTTAATTATAACCACGTCGATCTATATTCAGGTGTATTCACGATCGGGGCGTTGTACTTATATTAATGAAACCCACCCTATAAGACAAACGTTGCTTATTTGATGCCAAACAGATAATTTATACGATCAGTTGTCAATAAATAGTGTTCTTTTTTAGACATGTCGACAGTTTTCTTCGCAGCAAGAACATTTCAAGACCCCTATAGTTTCCTTGGCAACGTGGAAACATCCAACAACATAGAGCGATACGTTGGTTATATGAAGAGTACAGGGAATAATCCTGGATTCAAGGTCAGTTTATTTAAAGGAGAGCTATGCCCAACAATGCTTTATGCATCATTTTAATAGATTAAGTCATTAAGACCTTGTGATAGTTGCAACGATTAAATAAATATTGTCATGATATTATCAGTACGATGACCACCAAATCATTTATCCATTTAACATTGATCAAATCCATTTTGATCTCTTACAATGTCAGTATTATGAAAACTAAAATATTCAATTGCCAATTAATACCAAACAGATATATGGAATTTTGAATCACGTCAAATGTGATATATATTAACAATGAAATGAGCAATTTGACTAACACCCCAGTCACATTTGTCGTACGGAGGGCGTGCGTCGACCGAAGATCAATTAAATCAGTGTATTTCTGCGGCGAGCGTAGGAAACCTACGCTCGCCTTGCGGCCTCCGTACGGCGTATCAAGTTTTTTACAGGCCGCAGGGTCGCCGTAGAAATTATAACTCGGAGTTATAATATTTGTTCATTTCTGAGGTCCCCGTAGAAATCAACTGGCTCAACAAGATTGAATCATTATTTGTCAATGTTTCACGATCACTTTTCTTTTGATAGTACATCTTAGCACTATGAATGACATTTATAAATTGTCCTGAAAAGTATTATTTATCAACAGAAATTTAAAATTCACCGTGCGGCTGCCGTGGGAAATGTGACTGCAAAAGTATGAGAGCGCAGAAATTCTACGGCGAGCGTAGAAACGCTACTGGCAGCAGAAATGATAGACCACACGGCGGCCGTGGGAAATGTGACTGGGGTGTTAGTAATTGCAAGCGGATATAAAAAATAATCATAACATTACTTGAATACCACTAGCCATATTGGCAAGCCAAAGTAAGAACAAGTGATGGTACAGCTATAAAGACATTTCCACACAGTTAATAAATATATTAAATACATAGTATATTTCTCTCTAACGGAGACTATGTACTTAAAATACTCACAATTTAAAATGCATTTTCCATGGATTATTAAATTGTAAAACACTTTTTGTATGTTTCAAGGCTGATATTCGTGATACTGTTTCCGCCATGAGATTTATTGATGATGTTTGGCGTATGGACGAGAGTGTTCTTTGGGTATATATTGGAACAGAAAATGGCATTTTTAAGATGTTCCCTGGAAGTTATATGCAGAGGTCGTACGATCCTACCGAGAGGCCATGGTATTTGGATTTTTCTGTCATCATCCATGTGAAGTCTGACCACATAACGTGTCACTTGAGTACTATGATGCAAAACTAGCACTACACTTTGTTTACATTCACATCATATGCGTTATCTTCATTATATGCGTAAATCAAAGAATTGTATGCGAATCATTATTTTCCTTCCACTATATTGTTATATCGTCACACACGCAAAAACATCTCTGAGATCAGAGGAAGGTTCCTCTAAAGCTCAAAGCATTAAACAATCAATTAATGTAACGTTGACGGGGTTGAAATTGCAACGAAAATATCACTATAATTGTTTTCTTAGTCAGTTACTAGTAATGTACCAACAAAATGCAACTTTTAATCACTTGTCGTTCTCATCCATCTACCTGGTAGTAGCAGTTCTCAAAATTCGGGGTGTTTTTGCTACGGGTTGTCATATAGATCGTTACATAATTCTGCAATATATATATAATCCTGAGTGATAAACGGCGAAATAATTCTTGAGGTTTTAAGTGATGAGTTTTTACAAATGAACCTTTAATCTCCCATGGCAATGCAGCAATATTTTCAATGTTATACAACTTTAATATTTGAGGTATTTGAGGGCAATTGCAAACAAAGGAAAGATGGTGTTGTCGGCATACGAAGATGCTCTTGGACTCGGTTATGTTGTGACCATGAGTCATACATTGCATAAAGGGAGGTGAGTATACAAACAGTAACATTTTCTTAAAATTATCCCTAGAAATTGAAATTATAATATATCATAAATCCTATTACCATGTTAAATAGTTTTTTACTTGTTTATGAGAGAATAAACAGATAGTTATATAATCTTACTGTACCCTTCTACGATTCTAGTTCGAGTGTTGATCGACCTGTATTTGGCGTAATGGGATATGACTTCAACTTTAAGATACTATTCAACAAAATAATTGAACGTTATCCGAAATGCAACGATGACCAATACAGGTTAGTAAATTGTTCGAACATGTGATGTGTTCAGAAATTATTTGAACAAGAGGCTATCGATAACATAATGTGGTCAAAATAAACTAGAATTATATTTATGAAGATTTATGTGAGTGTTTCTGTTTCAAATGTAAGTACTGCATCTATCTATCAATTCTCTTATCAAGTCACAACCTAGTTTTTTCCATATAACTCTGGAGAAACATTGACTTACACTTTTAAAAAAATAAACATGTTTTGAAATTACAGTTGTTTTATAATGGATACAAGCGGTTTCATAATTTTGCACAAGGATTTTGTCGAGTGTCACAAAACTGATCAACAGATCGAAGGGTTACACATCACAGCCAAGGTAATAGGGAACTGCTGAACATCTCCATTGTTGTTAGGTATAAATTTGTTGATGAACATCCTCAAAAACAAGGTAATTTAAAAACGTGTATTCGCAAAACCTTTACTTTCTTTAACCACTGATTGACCTCATTATTATTATCATCTTTATAGGAGCCTCATATAGCAAGCCATTTGATATCAAATGGATTCATGAAACGAGGAGCATGTATGGATTTTGATTCCATTAAATATTACTACACATGGACTGTGGACTATGATAGAATACAGGTAAGTTAAATAAATCATGAAGTTTGACATAAAAACGTAACATATTATTTCATATTCTTGCAATCGAAAAGGATCTCATTGTTTTTATGAATATACAGCTTTAAATTTGTTTAAATGTTAATTATGTATCATTTCAAATTTTTTTACTCTAATTTTTTCTTGCGTGCTGTCTATTTACAGACAACGTTCATAGACACTATGGCGGGAAATAGAGTTCCTTACTACGAGTTACACGCTCTTGAAAATACAAATGCTCTAGTTGGTATAAAAAAGAAACAGAAAAGTACTAAATCCTCAAATTGTAAATGTTCATTGGTAAGATATATTTCTATTTCAAATCGGCATTGAACCTCGAGACATCTTGGTGAACTATTTTACAGAACAACAAGAATTAGTGAACATAATGTTTGACATTACAAGGCGGTGTGGTTCTTCTAACGTCTGGAAATCGGCAAAACAACTAGCCGCATATTTCATTAAATATGGTAGCTGTCACACTAAACAATAGGTACATACTGTAGTATACCATCATAGATGGCATGTGATCAATGTTTTTCTAATATAACCCAGCACATACACATATCACTCTAATTACAGGATGCCTATTACGCTAGTGCGAAATATCAATGTGTTAAACTGGGCAGCTCTAATAAGTTTTGTGAGTGTCCGTGCTATTCCAGGGCTCAGTTTGACTATTGTAACAACGACTTTCCACTGAGAAGGTTTGTTGCCTTCACTTCGTTATCCAATTATAGTATTGAAACTACATCAGTTGGTATGAGGCATCATACTATGGTGTAAATTCTGTGTCAAAAGTATTACATACCTAATTCAGTAGTTTGGGTGCACCAATATAAAAATCAGTGCCTATTTTGTACTCCTGACATATTTAGTGGAAATTCCGGTACCTATCTCTATATATATATATATCTAAAAACATTCAGAACGTTAAAAAACCGGTACCCGAAAAAATACCGTACGTCGAAAAATCGGGTGCCGGAAAAAATTCCGTACGTCGAAAAATCGGGTGCCGGAAAAAATTCCGTACGTCGAAAAATCGGGTGCCGGAAAAAATCCTGGACCCGATTATCGCCTCCCTTTATTAAAAGATGTCGTGGTATTCGAGCGTCCATAATTTCTTGGACAAAAATATGGATCCGATTATCGCCTCACTTTGTTAAAAGATGTCGTGGTAATCGAGCGTCCATAATTTCTTGAACAAAAATATGGATCCGATTATCGCCTCCCTTTATTAAAAGATGTCGTGGCAATCGAGCGTCCATAATTTCTTGAACAAAATATGGATCCGATTATCGCCTCCCTTTGTTAAAAGATGTCGTGGTAATCGAGCGTTCAGATATTTCTTGGCCAAAGATAGGCTATGTACCCGATTGATTTTGAAAGAATTTCTGGCCAGGGGGGGGGGGGGGGGGGTGGCATCCAAATTGGGGGCGATGAAAAAAAGCCCCATAATCATCATCAACATCGTGTTTAGGAGGGTGAGGTATAGTCCTGTGTTATCCTCCATTCTGGTTTGTTTAGTAACAGTGTTCATATTAGCGGTTATTTGGTAGATCTAACTTTGGTATTTTATATATCGAAGACAATTGCACGTTGTTGGGGGGGGGGGCAGTTGTGGGGGGGGGGGCAGTTGTGTGGGGGGGGGCAGTTGCACCAAAATTTGGGTAAAATTGGACAAAAAACTGGACACATAATGAAAGGCCCACCTGTTTTAGTGTCCAAAAAATATTTTGTGATTGATGATGATGATTGATGATGCCACTTTGAAACAGCCGCCAGTAAATCCATCCATTCAGGACTCCAGTAATAGATAACGCGTGGGCAAATTGTCAAACAATCAAATTAAGGCTTACTTATTCCGGATGGCGGATATAAAATTAATCTGTTATCGCACGGTTTTTGGGAGTGGTGACTTAGACAATGTCCTGAGACATCACCTGTAGTAAATACGCATATGTCATGCAATCTGTATTAATGGTGAGAGGTCTCGTTCGGGGGGGGGGGCTGGGAGACAACGTCTAGTAGCTAAGCTTCCCCTAACCACCGTCAGTACTCATGTGACGGGTCGTGTAAATTTGGTAGATCCTAGGGTAATGACATTGGTGTGTTATTACCTATCTTCATTCACGTAGAGAGAGGCCGGACATCCCGATCCTGTAGCGGATCTTCTCCCTTACATGTTGGTCATTGGGCCCAAGATGTTTCGAACTCATGGGGGTATCCCATGATTGTTCTTCATCAGCGGCCGAAAGAATGTTGTATATGATTTGATTCTGAATGATAATGCTGTTTTGTTTCTATCATTCAGTTGTATTTTAATAGGTTTCCCGTATTCGTTTTTGGCGGGAGGGGGGTGGTTGTTTATGCGTATTGGTTTATTTTTATTGCATAAAGGTGTGGTCAGTTTATTGATAAGTTTTGGTTTGGTTTGCGGTTAGGCCATATGGTCGTGTATGTTATATATTGATATTGTGTGTATTTAAAGGGTTGTTGGCTTGTTCGTGTTCGGTTGTATCCTGTGGCATTTTGTGGTGTTTTCAATTTGTTGAGTTGGTGTGCGTTTGGCGGTGACTGTGGTAGGTTAAGGGTGGGTGAATAGCTTTTTGGAAGTTCAGGTGGTTTATTTAGTGTTTCAGCTTTCCGTTGGTATATGCGATATGTAGCTAGTATATCTTGTTGTTGAGATATTAACTTAAATGTACCGTTTAGTGGTCCGTATTTCAAATATTTCGATTTTCTTGTATTTTGTTTTACGCGTATACGTATTGGTTAATTGTATTGGGGTATGGTCAGTTCAGTGTTGGAATTTGGTTTGGTTGTTTTGTTCATTGTTTGCACTTCATTGTCATGTGTGTTTTGTGTTGATATTTTGTGTGTTTGAGGAGGCATCAATTTGTTGGTGTATGTTTGTATTTTTTATTTTCCGGCATTTTGCTGTATTTTCGATTTGTTAAGTCGGTTTGAGTTTGGTGGTGCCTGGGGTGGGTCTATGGTAGGTAAATTGTCTTTTGATGGATCAAGTGGCTTGTTTAATGTTTCAGCTTTCTGTTGGTGTGTGTATTATGTTCGTGGCATGTTTTGTTGTTGAGATATTAACTTAAATGTAGGGCTTGATGGCCCGTATTTCAAATATTTTGATTTTCCCATATTTGTGTTTTATCGGGAGGGTGTATGCGTATAGGTTAATTGCATCAGGGTATGGTCAGTTCAATGTTGTAATATTATTTGGTTGTTTTGTTCATTGTTTCAGCTTCATGGTTAGGTATATTTTATGTCCATATTGTGTGTATTAGAAGAGTTGTTGACTTTTTCCGTGTTTGGTCGCGTTTTGGTGTTTTCGGCATTTTGCGGTATTATCAATTTGTAAAGTTGGTTTGAGTTTGGTGGTGACTAGGATGGGTCTTTGGTGGTAAATTGTCCTTCGATGATTCAGGTGGCTTGTTTATTGTTTTAGCTTTCTTTTGTTGTGTGCATTATGTTCGTGGCATGTTTTGTTGTTGAGATATTAACTAAAATGTAGGGTTTGATGGCCCGTATTTCAAATATTTTGATTTTCCCATATTTGTGTTTTATCGGGAAGGTCATGCGTATTGGTTGATTGCATCAGGGTATGGTCAGTTCAATGTTGTAATATTATTTGGTTGTTTTGTTCATTGTTTCAGCTTCATGGTTAGGTATATTTTATGTCCATATTGTGTGTATTAGAAGAGTTGTTAGCTTTTCCGTGTTTGGTCGCGTTTTGGTGTTTTCGGCATTTTGCGGTATTTTCGATTTGTTAAGTTGGTTTGAGTTTGGTGGTGACTAGGGTGAGTTTATAGTAGATAAATTGTCTTTTGATGGTTCAGGTGGCTTGTTTAATGATTTAGCTTTCTGTTGGTGTGTGTATTATGTTGGTGGCATATCTTGTTGTTGAGATATTAACCTGAATATAGGGTTTCGTGGTCCGTATTTCAAATATTTTGATTTTCCAATATTTGTTTTGTATCGGGAGGGTGTATGCATATTGGTTAATTGTGTCTGTGTGTGATTGGTTTATTGTTTAAGTCTGGTTTAGTTGTGTTGTTTTTTCTTTATCCTTTATTGTGAGGTATTTTTTGTGTTGATAGTATCTGTTTTGAGGGAGTTATGAACTTGTTTGCGCATAACCGTTTTTTTTGGTTTAATCTGAGTTTTGTGGTGTTTTGGTTTGTGGATGTGGTGTTGGTTTGGTGGCGTATGTGGTACCCATTTGGTGGGTTAATTTGTTTTGAATGGTTTGGTTGTTCTGTGTTATGTTTTGGCTTCGTGTTGGTATGTGTGTTGTGTTGGTGGCATGTTTTGTTGTAGAGATATTGAATTGATTTTGGGGGCTGTCTTCCCGTATATGAATATTCAGATATTGTTTTCCGTGTGTTGCGGAATTGTTGTCGGTTTTATAGGAAGATGTCGCTTTTTATTAATTCCCTTAAGTTTGGTTAAAAGGGGCGATATTTTTTAAGATTGGTAGGTAAGGTTGATTTTGGTGAGTTCGAAGTGTATGAATGGGTAAGGTTATATTGTTGGTGTCGGTAGTTGTTATATGTGAACTTTCTACTATACGCGCCATGCTATCTGACCCGAACAAGTCACCTGGTGGTGCGTTATTGGTTGTTATATTCATTCATTTATTCCTTCATACAGTCATACATTGGTAGGTTATTTCAAGGAATTTTGGTTATACTTCATAAATGTAATAACTCTTTTGGTAGAAATAGGTGGCCCTGAAAAGGGCTGGGGTTTGTTGAAGATTGTTATCTGCTGCGTTGGTTAGGTGTCGTGGCTTGTTTCCTTTTTGATTTGTATTCTGAAGCTGTGTTTCGTAGTTCTTTGGTTGTTTTCTCTGCTTCAGTTTTACCCATTGTGCTGGCCAGTTTGATTGTGAGGGTGTCCACCTGTTTTTTGTGGAAGGCAAGTCTTGTGTGCTGTGTAGGGTTGCCGCATCTTTCAAGTCGTTTCCGCATTTGTACAATATTGCGTCGAACGCTTCTTTGATGTCAGTCGTGTCTTTTTCGGGTACCCCACATGGTATTTTGGGGATGAGCCCTTTTAGGATCCCCGAGAGCGAGTTGGTAATTGCTTGTAGTGCGCCTTGGTGTCTTGTTTCCCAAAAGATTTCTTGTTTTAGCGACAAGTAAGGGAGAAGATCCACTACTGGATCGGGATGTCCGGCCTGTCTCTACAAAAATGACAATAGGAGTGACACCAACAATGTCATCATCCTAGGATCAACTAAATATACTCTACCTGGCACATAATCACTGACAGTGGTTCGGGGAAGCTTAGACACTAGACTATGTCTCCCAGGTTCCCTAAACGAGACCGCTCACCATTTGACACAGATTGCATGACTTATGCGTGTTCACAAGGGGTGATGTCTCAGACATGGTCTAAGTCAACCCCTCCCAAAATACGGGCCATCAAACCCTACATTTTAGTTAATATCTCAACAACAAGATATGCCACGAATATAATGCACATACCTACAGAAAGCTAAAACATTAAACAAGCCACCTGAACCATCGAAAGACAATTTACCACCAAAGACCCATCCCAGTCACCACCAAACTCAAACCAACTTTACAAATCGATAATACCGCAAAATGCCGAAAACACCAAAACGCGACCAAACACGGAAAAAGTCAACAACTCTTATAATACACACAATTTAAACATAACATATACCTGACCATGAAGCTGAAACAATGAACAAAACAACCAAATTAAATTTCAACATTGAACTGACCATACCCTGATGCATAATTAACCAATACGCATACACCCTCCCGATAAAACACAAAGATGGGAAAATCAAAATATTTGAAATACGGGCCATCAAGCCCTACATTAAAGTTAATATCTCAACAACAAAACATGCCACGAACATAATGCACACACCAACAGAAAGCTGAAACATTAAACAAGCCACCTGATCCATTAAAAGGCAATTTACCTACCATTGACCCACCCCAGTCACCACCAAATTCAAACCGACTTAACAAATCGAAAATACAGCAAAATGCCGGAAAATAAAAAATACAACCATACACGAACAGATTAATTTATACTCAAACACACAAAATATCAACACAAAACTCACATGACAATGAAGCGCAAACAATGAACAAAACAACTAAACCAAATTCCAACACTGAACTGACCATACCCCAATATAATTAACCAATACGTATACGCGTTCGATTAAAACAAAATACAAGAAAATCGAAATATTTGAAATACGGACCACTAAACGGTACATTTAAGTTAATATCTCAACAACAAGAAATACTAACTACATATCGCATATACCAACGGAAAGTTGAAACACTAAATAAACCACCTGAACTACCAAAAGCTATTCACCCACCCTTAACCTACCACAGTCACCGCCAAACGCACACCAACTCAACAAATTGAAAACACCACAAAATTCCACAAGATACAACCGAACACGAACAAGCCAACAACCCTTTAAATACACACAATATCAATATATAACATACACGACCATATGGCCTAACCGCAAACCAAACCAAACCAAACCAAAACTTATCAATAAACTGACCACACCTTTATGCAATAAACCAATACGCATAAACAACCACCCCCTCCCGCCAAAAACGAATACGGGAAACCTATTAAAATACAACTGAATGATAGAAATAAAACAGCATTATCATTCAGAATCAAATCACATACAACATTCTTTCGGCCGCTGATGAAGAACAATCATGGAATACCCCCATGAATTCGAAACATCTTGGGCCCTTATAATGACCAACATATAAGGGAGAAGATCCGCTACAGGATCGGGATGTCCGGCCTCTCTTTACGTGAATGAAGATAGGGAATAACACATCAATGTCATTACCATATGATAGGATCTACTGGCAAATATACACGACCCGTCACATGAGTACTGACTGTGGTTAGGGGAAGCTTAGCTACTAGACGCTGTCTCCCAGCCCCCATCCCCCCGAACGAGACCTATCACCATTAATACAGATTGCATGACATATGCGTATTTACTACAGGTGATGTCTCAGGACATTGTCTAAGTCACCACTCCCAAAAACCGTGCGATAACAGATTAATTTTATATCCGCCATCCGGAATAAGTAAGCCTTAATTTGATTGTTTGACACAGCTTTGCCCACGCGTTATTTGTTACAGGAGTCCTGATTGGATGGATTTACTGGCGGCTATTTCAAAGTGGCATCATCAATCATCATCATCAATCTCAAAATATTTTTTTGGACACTAAAACAGGTGGGCCTTTCATTATGTGTCCAGTTTTTTGTCCAATTTTACCCAAATTTTGGTGCAACTGCCCCCCCAAAAAACTGCCCCCACAACGTGCAATTGTCTTTGGAATATAAAATACCAAAGATAGATCTAGCAAATAACCGCTAATATGAACACTGTTACTAAACAAACCAGAAGGGAGGATAACACAGGACTATACCTCACCCTCCTAAACACGATGTTGATGATGATTACGGGGCTTTTTTCATCGCCCCCAATTTGGTTGCCCCCCCCCCCCCTGGCCAGAAATTCTTTCAAAATCAATCAGGTACATAGCCTATCTTTGGCCAAGAAATATCTGAACGCTCGATTACCACGACATCTTTTAACAAAGGGAGGCGATAATCGGATCCATATTTTGTTCAAGAAATTATGGACGCTCGATTGCCACGACATCTTTTAATAAAGGGAGGCGATAATCGGATCCATATTTTTGTTCAAGAAATTATGGACGCTCGATTACCACGACATCTTTTAACAAAGTGAGGCGATAATCGGATCCATATTTTTGTCCAAGAAATTATGGACGCTCGAATACCACGACATCTTTTAATAAAGGGAGGCGATAATCGGGTCCAGGATTTTTTCCGGCACCCGATTTTTCGACGTACGGAATTTTTTCCGGCACCCGATTTTTCGACGTACGGAATTTTTTCCGGCACCCGATTTTTCGACGTACGGTATTTTTTCGGGTACCGGATTTTTTAACGTACTGAATGTTTTTAGATACGGAATTGATTCCAGTAGCGATTGAGAGAACAATTGGGCTAAGTGTTTATCATAGTACAGAATTCGGGTACCAGATAAAATTAGGTGACCGAAAAATAAAGTTGGGTCACCTAATTTTAAACAGGCATCTAATATAGAGATAGGTACCGGAATTTCCACTAAATATGTCAGGAGTACAAAATAGGCACTGATTTTTATATTGGTGCACCCAAACTACTGAATTAGGTATGTAATACTTTTGACACAGAATTTACACCATAGGCATCGCATTAAACCTGCCCTATATTATTATGTCTAATTTAGAACTTTCGCTTTTATCAGAGATCAACACCGTTGCAAATTTATTTATTCATTGTTTCATTACATAACACAACATATTACACAATGCATTGCAATCATGCGACAATACACATTCTATGTTGAATGTTGATCGAGTTGATAAAAGCAAATTTTGATTTTTGTCTAAAAAATCATCATTAAAATTTTAAAAAAATGCTAAGCAATATTTTCAAAATATAACAAATATGTTAACATCAAAATACCTCAGATTAAATGTTGTTGATATTAACACGCATTACGCAGACTTTCATAGAATAACAGAATTTAAATATATTTGAATATATCAATTGTCGTAAATAAGCCCATATAGTATATTTCCAGTGATGGTTACCCCACGTGTACACCAGATATACCGCCATCGAAAATAATTACAAATATTGACCAAGAGACGGTGCAGTCGTATGATGCTTGTTTTGACATAAATTGTTTAGACAAAGAGACCAGGAGGTAAGACGATACTTTTTGAATGCAACAAAAATAACCTTGAAAATATAGAGGACATTTGCTATGTGTGAATGGCTACTTATTGACTTTATATAATTAGGTCATTGATATTTCATTGACATAACATTTTCTTCTTATCTCTTTGACTTCAATTGTCCAATGTTTTTCCGTTATTTCAATAGAAACCATACGCTAAATTACAATTCTTAAGATATATATATATGTATATAACTCAAAAATATGAGGAGGGTTTTAAGGGCATATTCCCATTAAATATTTTAAAATGCTTGTTTCAACAAATACAAAATCTAAAATAAAACCACTTTAAGTTCACCTGTCCGTTATTTGTAAAGTATAATTGTCCAGCATCTAAATGTTTCAGTGATTGTCTTCACTCTGGTATATGTGAATGGAAAAAGTCCCGGGTGTGTTTATTTGCGAATTGTGAAATACAATCGGGTGCTGAGAGAGAAAAACAGAAACCGACACAGACACGTGGCAACCAAGACGGAAAAAATGCTGACATGGGTAGCATGGGTATAATAATTGGGTGGTGTGTAGGGGGAGCGTGTGTTCTGCTTGGTATAATAATTACTATCATATGTGTCTACAAATATAAGCAAAAAAGAAAAGTAACTGCAAGGCAAAGATCCATGGAGCTTCAGAACATTGCGAACACCCATCGTGCTTATACTGTATCTGGGTCATATGATGACCGCCCATCACCATATAAATCTGCAATGCATTTTAACGATACGATGCCAGGGGACGTGTTGCATTTAAAACATAGCTAAGATCATTGCACCACTTATAGTATTACAAAAATGAATATTATACGGTGGGTGAGATTGCAAGATAGAGATATTAACTATAGTCTTAGTCACTGTAGCTTTATTCTTCTGTCAAATATAATTGCATTCTGACTTACAATTTTAGCCATCTGACTTAAGATTATATCAACGTGTTGAAATGAAAATTATACAAAGCTTATTGAAAACTATCGATTTTATTAGAATTTTACTTGCATAACATAATTATTCAAATAGTACGTGGATATGTAGATTTCTTGTAAAAAGTTGCCTTTGATATAACGTGTTAAGGAGTATATTTAAAACATGTTTTATACATTTATTAATACAATGTACATTTTAAAATTCGATATGATCTGTCCATGTAATAATGATTAGGTATGTACATCATATAACAATTTACTAATACGCAATAATCTATGTAATTCTATTTTGTCATTTGTAACATCGACACGAGGTTGACAATTGTTTATTCAAAATTCACTCAACAACATTGTATAAACAGGCAGATTGAACAGATGAATATTTACGTCCATTACAATTTACTTTCTATTTCAATCATATCCATTACGTAACACTATTGGATCAAAAAGATGCATCTATGTAAAACTGTTTTTCAGCTTGCCTTGATAAATGATAATATATAATTTGCAATTGTTTCAAATCAAATATTTTCTGCATTTATTTTAACTTGTATGTCATGTAATATTGCACTTTAAAACTAGATAAACATGAATGCTTTGGTATTGATTTCTGCCTAGGATGACATGAACAAGATATGATTGTAGTTAACTTTATGGAGGTTGACTAGACCCATTCACAAGAAGACATGTTTACACAACGATGTTCATATGATCGACATATTTTAATGTAATCATCACGGTCCACTTTAAACCTATACAATTAGAGAGGATGATTTGTCTTTTAAATAATGGCTTAGTGGAACATGGCAGCTGGCACAAAATAACATCCCTCTCTTTTTCCCTCTCTTTTTCTGATAAATTCGTCAAATCATAATCTTTTTCGTAAAATTATCACAAAATTTTACCTTGCCAACGTCTGTTAGCCGGCAAATACTACGCTACGACATTTCCGCCCAAGTACTTCTAGGTCCCGGAAATCACCCAACCTGAGTTGACCATACCATCCGAAGTCAAAATTTCCCGGCTAAAATAATCAATTAAGCCAAGTTTGAGATCATTTGGAGATTAAGTAGGATAAATCTGCTTAATTGTACCAGTTATGCGTTTACGTTGTGCCTATAGTATGGAGTTTATTTGCATATTAAATCGAAACGTCAACCTATACGTATGACCAATGTCCAATACAAATGCATCGCTTAAATATTTTCCGTTGACGTTTAGATTGTGAAAAACATTGCAAGACTCCCTAATAATCAGTAGAAGCCGCTGTTTCATAACTCCGGCCCATATATGTCAATAACAATATCTTAACAAATATGTAAGATACGTTCATACAGCTTCACCTGCGGTTATAGCATTATTAAACACCATATATACGGGTTTAAAATAGCGCTTTTACATATAAACCTTCGTGACATTTTGCTTCGGAGGATACGCATTTTTCTGACACACCTGATTATTGCATGTGTGGAAGACAATTGGAAAAATATTTACAAAACAGGTACATCTACATGGCAAATCAAACGTGTGTATCCTTCAAAAGAACAACAAATGAAGGACACCAAAAAGCAAAACAGATAAAAGGTAAATAGATGACAATGTAACGTATAACATACGAACAAGCACACACAATATATTTCAGCTGAAGTGCAGACAGCTAGTCTAAAAAGTGATTTAACTACTAAAAAGGTAAACGTCTTGAAATTGGTCTGTTAATGACGTACATTGGCAACTAGCAGGTGATGCTGTACATGCAATATCGACAGTTTCTGCCCAAAGTACCTATGCCTAGTCATTGCCTAAATAGAGATTATAGAGTATCGCATCGCATTTAGAAAACTTCAATTTTACTTCAACAGATCTATTTACACTCTCAGGAACTGAATAGCATCTCAACGATAGGAATCCTTTAAATAATTTCTAGTCAGAAACTCTGGGATCATTGTAAAGAAAAAGAACTGGATCACCGTTTTACAAAAGGTGTTCAATAATTTGCACAATAAGGAACTTCAGAAAAATTGGTTCATATTTTATAACGAGAACTGAGTCATCACAAAGCGCTACATATAACGAGGAAGATAATAATTGCTAAAGGTTGAATTTGCATAAATATACTACGACGGTTTTTGAAATCGAATGCATAGCTATATTATACTAGGGAATACCTTAGACAATGCTATGTATTTCAAGATAATACAAAATTACAATAAGATTGATATAAGGTTTGTTATAACAACTTTTAATATATTTTAGATGGCGTACGCAACATCAGAGCCGAATGTGACGTATGTCCACTATTTAGAGACACATCCCATAGAAACGTCATTCTTGATCGGCGTCATGCTTATCATTATCATAATTGGCACTGTAGGAAACATCTTCATCATAGGAGCCGTCGCTGTTACTAAAAGCCTTAGGACAACGGCTAATTATTTCGTTATAAATATGGCTATATGTGATGTAATTCTAGCAGGGCCAGTCAATATTTTCTTTGTAGTGGCTATATTCACCGGCGAACGATGGTTCGCTATTAGGAAAGAATTCTGCGGCGCTTTGGCGTTCCTATGCCTCAGTGCTTGTTTGGCGTCTCTTGCCTGCGTTGCGTTCATCGCCATCAATCGCTATGTGTGTATATGTAAGAGCAGCGTCTACCCCACAATTTTTAGTAAGCGCAATACTATCGTCGTCAATATCGTTATATGGTTGTACAGCATGTGGCTCAATTTTGCTGTCTTTGGCGGCTGGGGCAGGTACACGTACGATCGGAAGATGATTGGTTGTGTTTGGGACCGCATGGAACATCGCGCCTTCAGCTTAAGCTTCCTTGCAGGGGTATTTATCCCTATTGGAATTGTCGCCATCTGCAACGCACTTATATTCTGGAAGGTCTATCAGACTAAGAGGAAAATAGCAGGCGTCGGAAAGGAAGGTGATAAAAAGATGGACAAAGAGATTAAACTAGCCAAAGTTTTGTTTCTGGTCTTTTTGATTTTTCTTATGATGAATTCGCCATTTATTGCAGTCATCCTCTTCGACTCCGCCGATGTTTTCCCCGTTCTCGTGTATGTCATCGTAGTCCAATTAATGCACGGAAATGCAAGTGGAGTAAATTGTTTTGTTTATGGGGTTAGCAATAAAGCATTCAGAGAGGGTTACAAAAACTTTTACTATAAGATGTTTGGAGTGTGTGGAGTCAAACGTTCACTTGCAAATCCGGCAAATGATAACAGCATGACGAATTATAGCACAGTCGTTCCAAATGTAGAAACTTGAATGTGAAACGGGATGTACACTTTTAACCAATCTGGACCAAGCAAATATGATCACTGGTGGAGGTCAAATGATCATTGCTAATCTTCTCGTGTGATCTATATTTCTAATGATTTAAATCATTTCTGGCTCGTCAGAGAATTTATGTATTCACAGTTCATATTGTCTATTTTTCATATTTGATTGATGTAATCTATATTAGTGTACTTACAAATAAACAATCCTAGTCACATTGATAATTGTTATTTATTGATTTTTATATTATAAGTGGCCTGTCGATCGCGATTTAAGATGATAAAGTATACAATAAAAAAAGGAATTACATTTTATCCATTGCGGCTGTAGAAACTGAGGGTATCTGGCTAAAATGAGAGTAAGGAGGTGCCAAACTGGATTTGAGAATCAATTAAATCTATTTCATGTAGTCAATAAAAGGTATTAAATGATCCGAAACTGTATGTGATTTTTGACTAGGATTCAGCTATTTTCATTTTAAGAATATAATTAAATATCTAAGCACAAGTAAATGACGAAAAGCTGTATTGGCACCTAGCAAGAAAAATTCCAATTGTGTACCAGGCATAAGAAAAACAGACCCTATATATCCAAAAACCATGATCTAAAGTGAAAAGAAATAATCATGTCTCGTTCCCTTTTCCCGCCATTCAAGAACCAGAACAATAAAGAATATTTAATCAATACTGAAGTTATTAGAAATTGATAGCCAATACTCATGAATTCAAAAATAGTAATTATCGATGCAAGACTGACTCTACAAGATGTGGGATCGACAAATCCAGCCTGAAAGTCAAGTAGGAGTTTCAAATGGTCAACATCCACTCGCAAAGCAATCGTAATAATCCATTAAATATATAGTGGTCATATCCAAACATATTAATATTTCAAATATACAACTTGACCCTTGCCAGAAATAATTTGACCTAGAAATAATTTTTACATATATAGTGGTCATATCCAAACATATTAATATTTCAAATACACAACTTGACCCTTGCCAGAAATAATTTGACCTAGAAATAATTTTTACATACTCAATTTAATCAACCTCAATAATCAAATACCTGGACCCCTTTTTGTTTAGAAGTGGTTATAAATATCTGCCATTGACAAAACTCGGGTGATACAATTATAAATACAAAATGGTATATCAAAACAATCAGATATTTCGATTAACATTTTGCTATGATCAATTCGAGGGGTTTAACATGGTCATTTTCATTTAAATCTCGTCATTATAAAAATCAAACAATTGCATTCTATTCAAAAAGCATTTACCAATCACTTGATCCTTTGACTGAAATGATAACATAATTCTCATATTCGGGTCACCATGAGATTCCATCTGATCAAGACATCATTGTTTCAGGATTGAGCCCTGTGTCAGTGCATTGTGGACTGAATCATTCCTCCAATGTGATGTTTCAAACTTTGCATGAGATACGCAGCATCGAATACTAATTTAAGGACACAACACTTGTGTGGAATGTATCAGCCAGGAGGCATTGAGTCTGAGGCTTAAATTCGATTAAAACATTGCAAATCATTTGAGATATATTTCCTAAAAATACGAATTCACTAAATGAACATATTTTCAATAAAACTTTTTGCAATCGTCAAATTTTCAAAGTATCAATCTGTATAGTCAAGGGAGGATAGTTAGTAATAAAATGCAGTGCTATATGAAATACTGTGTTCGTATTGACTGGAATCGGACACAACTAACGTATGTGCATTTGGTATTCTTATTGTGATTCTGAATAATGAGCTCAGGATCGTATGCAAGCAGGATCTGTTTTAGCTGTAGCAAATTTGTCTTAGTAAAATCTATCATATACCTCATTCACAAAGATAATGACAAAGATCTCATCAGACTTAAAAGTGACTGCAATTTATTGTTTTGAGGCATCATACTGTATGCATTATATTCATCACCCTATCATATATGTAAACTATTTACTATATGATTTCATCAAAACACAAAAATTGTTCGTATACGATGCGTTTTATGATAGTGCTGAAGCGAAACTCCCAAGTAAACATTGTATAAACGTTAGTGTTTTGAAGTGTTGTGAGTTAGAATCGTAAAAATATGTGTAATTACGTTTCAGTAATTTTAAGTCAAAACATAAAACATTGGATATAGTCCAATTAAATCATAGTTACTGGTGAGATGAGAAGGGGAAGAGTTGCAGGTAAGTTTTCAAAGGTTCGCATTTTAGATAATATAAAATACGAAGTATATGTCTTTGTCCTATTGCTAGAAGCCTGTGATTACATGAATTAATGCGATAATGACAGGGCGAAAACTAAAGGTAATAAGGTTTGGCTTTCCCTCTGACATTCAGGAATTGGTCCTCGTGATAGACGTTTAATTTTACATATATGCAATATTTTATTGTCTATAAGTTACTATGTTTATATACACGAATGCATTTATTCGTGTTGAAATTTTTGTAGTTTTGCTTTCAAGTTGCTGAAGGTCAAGGGAAGTAATAATCTTTAATCTAAGGTCAAATATGAACTCATAGCAACTCGTGCATAATTTTTATTTTGTGCATAACTATTGGTCATTTAGAATAAGTTGAAAAGAATGATATTTTTATCAACACAAATACAATGCTCAAATTTTGTATTTACAAATAGGTGTATGCGTATTGCTTTATTTAAGGAAGCATATCAAGGTGTAGTGTCACCGTGTCAGGCTTTGAGAAATTAAAAAAAATATATATCAATTTGACCTTAGCTTTGAGCTTGAATTTAAACAAGTTTTTGTCACTGATAGGTATATAAAACACAAGTTTAATTTTGCTATAATGAATAAACAAAAAAATAATAGATAATAATCAGATAGCCTCCTGATAATAAAGAAAACGTAACATAAACTGGAGAAAGTTTCTTTCACAGGGTTTCTAAAGTCATGTTAAGATGTTCTTATCTACTCATTTGATTGTTACCCGGGCTTGATTTTAATAGGAACATTTGGTATATGAAAATACATCATGTTATGATGCACCCTTAAACTAGCTCATATTATTTTACACTCGGATAGTATTTATGTTGATAAAAACAAAGTTTAAACAGGATAAATTGTTATTGGTAGCAATGAAAATATAATAGCAGCAGTAACATGTATGACATCTAAAGTATACAAATATTATAGTGATATTAAAAAAGGGAAACCAATAAAACCTTAAGTGAGTAATTTCAAGGGACGGTGATGCCAAATTTAAAGCGTTATGTCTCTTTAAAACGTATTTGCGTTTCACTAATTTTGAATAAAAACATACAACCTTGGAATAGACCAATCAAATTATACTTCCTGGTTAGAGGAGGTTGGGATATCCCATATTAAACCAACTGGCATTAACTTATGACCTACAAATGGGAAATAAACATTACGTTTGCTTCAAATTTTTACGAATCTCTACAATGTTAGTCTCGCTGATCAGATTTGATATTATTTAAAACTATACACACGATAAAACAATAAATACCCACTTCCACAATTTGCATTGGCGATTTTATACATCGGGTGTCCCACAAAATGAATGACTTTTTGCCAAGTATTTTCTCGGCAACTGATCAACCAAATTCACTGAGAATTTGTACAAATTAGGCTGAGAGTATAATTAGCAAGTTGTAAAAATATAAAACTACTTTGTACAAATTTTCAAAAAATTGGTTCATCAGTTACTGAGAAAATCCCTTGGCAAAAAGTGTCTCATTTTTTGGGACACCCGGTATATTTATTTATTTACAAATCATTTTATTTTAAGGAATTCAACATGAGGACCGCCTGGATCTTCTGCATTATTTTCTTTATACTTAACCATCCATTGGATTTAGTAGAATCATCGATATTAGATTCTAACGAGCTGAGTCTGTATCTATCTGAAATATCAAGAGAAAGACTTGGAGTCAATGCAATGCAGGTATGGTTTTTAAGTTTCCCTTGGTATAACATTTTTAATAACTTACTAATGCCTACCGGAGTGGCTCTGGAGGAAAGATCATTCGAGAATGTTTTCCAGAAATACGTTACCTACTTCAAAAAGTATAATTCCTAGTATTCTTTAGAGATGGGGTTCTTGTGGTGTCCCCTCTGACCATTCTCTTAGCAGCCCTTCAAGAATGGTAGATTTGGTTTGCTGGCCAAATTCCTGCTATATTCAAATAAAATGTTATGCTTTGTTTTATTTCTTCTTAATTTGGGCTTACCTCCACCTCCACGTTTCCATGATCTTACAATGAGGCGTTGCAATTGGATTGTGTATATTAGTTTTTCCTCGATGCACACCCAATCAATTGTAGAGGCCTTTATTTTGCATTTTATAACGCTGGAAATAAACGTGATGTTCCCTATTAGTATTGCTCTATCCGCAACATCATTGCATGTGAAAATATATTTAAATATATGTAATGGCTCACTGACTTGATTCTGGGTAATCGTTCCCGGGTTACAGTATTGGAAAAATGTTGCATATTTACATCTAAATTGAATTCACAACTTCTACGTATACGTACTATTTTATGTTAAACAGCATGCCATTTATTTTTAACTCAACCTATGCTTTACCACAGACCAATCCTACACCACACAATGTTACTGAATACCACCCCACGCACCGTAACATTGCTGTCAGTCTTTTTTTCAATATGTTTTAGTATCATCTCGACAAGAATGTGAAATTCTTGAAAAGATTTGTGAACTTTGAGGCTGATTTAAACCAGGTATTTAATTTGGAATTGCTAGCGCTAAAACGGAATAACCAGCTCCATCATACTCTTTATTCCTAAGATAATAGCAAACCATAGATGGTAGAGCAAAAAATATTGGAAACAAATAATCTGAAGGTACTTTGAAATTTTAGTAATTTTAGAAGATTTAAGATGTTCAGCCAATGTAATGCATGTATAATTCTGAATTGATATTATTTTAATTAGCCTTTAGAATGATTGGTATTGAATATTTATATTTAGCTAATAACCTATAGACGTTATTTAGAGTACACATGATCTGAAAATAGAAGCAATATTTAGTGAAGTAAAAAATTAAGTAAGAACTTTGTTTTGCAGCTCTCTTCTTCTCTGGACACCAAATTCAATAGTTACATAAATGCAGCTCGTAAACTTGAGGATGCCATTGAGAGAAATTATGGAGATTTTACTAAAAGTCCTACCCAACAGGAATGTTGTCACAGCAGACCGCGAGAACGGGACGAACGATTTAAAGCTAAGGTATCCTACTATCACACCGATCTAGTTCTCACTACGTTCTCGAAAACGGGCTTAAACTGTGCGCGGACGGATTTGACGTACTAAGAACCCACTAAGAACCGTTTGGGATATGTTTACAAACTTCATGAAACTACTAGAACGAGTAGGTCCTCCAGCACTTAGAGCATGCTCAACATTTTCTGGTGATCGTCAAAACGTTGCCAAATCGGTTTTAAAGGGTGACGCATATCGTTTAGCAAATCGAACGCTCGTTTCTGGTGTTGCTCACCGTTTAGTATAAAAGGCCCGATCCCAGAATTATACTCAAGGGTTCACAGGCTCGAGGTCGTTGTGTCAACACCTCTAACTGTTATATAGTATAAGTTTATTATAGATCGTCACATATTTATAAAAGGGTGATTTTTATTTTGACAAATCAATTCCACATTTATGGGTGAAGTTTCAGGAGCTTCTATTTGTGTATAATAAGGAAAAATTGACATCTTTTCCCCATAACGTAATAGCATACAGCTTGGCATATGAAATATCCTGCAAATGAAACAAAGCAGTTCTAATACAAGGATTTATATTGGCTGTTGTACATATTCTTTGAACGCAATCTCTCTATGGATAATGTTTTCAAAATCATTATAAACGGATTACTTTATCTCAAAGACAATTTCAATAAACTGGATTTTACAGAACTCCCCTTATTTCTTAAAAATGAACTGATCCAGTTCATTCACCTGGAGCCGCCATATTGTTTTTATACGGGATGCTTATCGGAACCCTTTAAACTGTGTGCGAACTGAATGAACGTAGCTACAACGTTCTACGTTTACGAACTTCATGGACTTTCCCGGACGGGGTATGTGATTTAGAATTTTGAATCGATTCAAAATTCGATGGCGACCATACCGTTCTGTAATCAGGTCATGATGACCTTCTAGACTAAGGGACGGTTTATACTACGTTGCACACCGACGTGGTGCGACCTGAACGAACTGCGAATGAGATGGACGTATTGAAGACTGTTTATGAACGAAGTAGCTAATTATTTTAGACACATATCCCGACCGCAGCCAGATTGAGCCCGTTTTACGACATTTCCCTAGGACTGGCAAGAACGGGTAAGAACTTATTTGGTGTGATAGGGGGGGGGGGGGGGTAGGACAATGTTTTGAATTCTTTATACATTTTTATTTACTTTTAATTCAGGTGATTTTAGTGGTCTTGTTGCTGTGTATATACATAAGGTTAACACTATTATTGCTAATTACTGTTTTTTCCAGGTCGACTTGGGTGACGCCTGTATTCAGATATCAGAGACAGCACCACATCGTAACCAACGCGAGTACTTTCACAAAGGACTTGCTGAGGTCATGAAGGAAAATATGAAGTAGGTGCCATATAGTGATAATTTATTATTGCTAGAGTCTACTATAAAAAAACAGGTACACTTATCAGTATCAAGCGAGGAAACAACCGAAACCTCGATTTCGATATTTTTCTTTTCATCGAATAAATCACTTTACAGTTGACGTAATGCTTAATGATATTTGAACTTTATCAACGATAATATGACATGGAAACTCTAGAGTAAAATCATTTGTTAATGCACCATGCGTAGACACCAGAGAACGATATCTTCCACCGTTTAAGAGAAGGTAACTGGGACTTTAGTTTTACATATGATAAGATATGTGGTGATGCGGTAACGTTATATGATCATACATGATCACACTCCATAGTTCCCATGTCACATACGCCTGATTTTGTTCAAATATTAAAGCATAACGTCAGCTATAAAGTAGTTGTATCAACGAGAACTAAAAATATTGAAATCAACAATTACTGTCCGCCATCTTAGGTTATGAACGTTGTATTAGATTGGTGCTGACCAGTGAGTTATAAAATGATATTTTTCAGACAATTGAAGGAAATGTCGATATCGTATAAGTTTCCCTGTGTTTTGTACAAAATGCATTACTAAATTTTGTTTCATTAAGAAACCTACCGAGCCTCAAATGGCAGTACGTTGGCACCGAACAAGGCATAACGATTACGTACCCAATGGCAGCTATGGGCACGTGTAGCGACTATGACAACCGGTTTAGGTGAGTACTTCTTTTCTTTATTGGCCAATATAAATTTTTTTTGAAAGAATATACGCTATGAATTAATAAAGTACAATACTTCACAAGACGATATATAGAATTAGGCAACAAAGAAAATCTGACACGCCATTCCCATAAATGTGCTGAGCTCACATCATCTCACACATTGCCTAATTACCCGGGCCTAATTAAGACTACAATCTAAGATTTGAATAATTTTTGAGGGGGTTTGAAGGAGGAAATGTACTGATTGTAATACCCACATAGGAATTTTAATTACAAAAAAAGCAAATTCAAAATTATGTCTGTAGTGACGTTGTCAAAAAGAAAACGCTGACAAATCTATAGTTTAGATAAATTGTAAATTAAAAGTAAAACTATGTAATAAAAACATTCAATTCAATATTCAAATTATGTTTGTATCACTAGTTTCGTCCTACACAGAGATTCAGTCACTTTCATTTGTTTAAATTTCTTTCATTTTTATAACTTATAGACCATGGTATGTTGAGTCCGCCACACCCGAACCCAAGGATGTTGTTATAGTTATAGATAAATCGGGATCGATGTCTCATACAGTGTCACATAGTCGGTCTATGTCAAGATTAGATGTTGCTAAAGATGCTGCAAATTCTGTCCTCGATACACTTAACCCATCTGATCGGGTAAGTGGAAGTCAGAATATCATATACTTAGATATCTTCAAAATTATATGGAAAATTGCCTCGGTTACAATGCCCCTTATAACTTAACGCGTTCGGACCCCATATTTTGGAATAACTCTGCAACCAGAAAAGCTTTTTTTTATCCTGATTTCAGTTTAAATGGGCTATTCAATTACCGTTCATAGTATAATATGCATTATTTATCGTAGGTGCAAGGCAATGTGAGTAAACCTAATCATATGGGGTCAGATGTCATATCCTTTTATGGCATTTTGCAGCATTTATGTATAACGATATATAATTGCAATATAATTTGGTGATAGTGATGTGCTTTGACCCCAGGTAGCACAAAAAGTTACCATGCGATTTCAATCTGGTCTGTTTTATAGGAAAGGACATACATTAATTGAGAATCAAATAAAATTTCATCTAGGTAGAATTATCATTTCTGGTACTATTGTCGCAAATAATTTGCTCTAGGGTCCCCAAAATGGACCCTTAAAACCTTTAAAGGTTATAAGTTGATGAGAGAAAAGTCCAAGTCCATCTATGATTTAATTAATTTGTTTCCTTACAGGTTGCAGTCGTTGGGTTTAATCAAGGGACGTTAGTAGCGCCTGGAGACCACAAGAAAAGTCTCTGCTTTGGTAATCAACTGGCTCTAGCAATTCCACAGAACAAAGCAATCCTAAAAAAGAATGTTGATGGTTTTCATGCCGCTGGTGGAACTACATATGCCAGTGCACTAAAAGTAGCTTTCTCGCTGTTTAAAAACAGTGCTGATTTTGAGACAAATTCAACGAAAAAGAGAAGTAAGTATATACACGTTTCATTTCATGTCAGCAAAATTCCTAGTATTTGAATATTAAATTGAATGATCTATCTAATAGTTTATGGAAGAATAGAATCAAACGAATTAAAACAAATTGTCAAATGCGTTAAAACCTAATCTAATTTTTATGTGTTAAATTTCAGGCAAAGCAATTTTATTTCTCACTGACGGTGAACCAACTGATGCTGCGACAAAAGATATATTCACAACAATTGAAAATGAAAATAAAATGATATCAAATGAAATAGTGATACTTACATACGGGATAGGTGGAGGTGAGTAATTACTATAAAGATAGCTAATGATCTGAAACAATACATGTTTGTACAGCGTGGGTCAATAATGTCACTGATTTTAAAGTGTAATAACTCATTCATGGTTGGTCTCAAACATTCTAAGATGACTAAGACGTACATGAAAACCACTACTATGGAGATTCATCAATTCTCAGTCATTTCAGAAAGTTTGAGACCAATAATAACATCCGAAAGCTATGAAAAGTAAAGAAATTTCTCAGGTTAGTTAGAGGAACCTTAAATTATTATTATTAGAACTAGCAGATGAACATCTTTGGCACTAATAATAAATGAGTTTTTCACTTTAAAATCTGTAACATTTTTCGCTTACCGTGTATTCCACAAATAAGAACATCTTTCGAAAAATAATGTTGCTGTTTGATTTTTCGTTGATTAATCAATTATCTTTATTATACTTAAAAATTATAAAAAATTGCTATTCGGTAAAAGACACATTGCGATGACTACACTGAAAACATTTTCTAAGTTCACAAGAGAGTAACGGTCTCACTAAACGCCTCACTGTTCATCCCTTTCGAATTCATAAGGGGTCGCAATTCCGAAATTACATCTAAAATATGTTCTTCCGAACAAGAACATTGTGAAAAATAAATTATATGAGAAACACAAGGAAGCAAATGGCATTATACATTAGTTCAAATATATCATCTGAATTTACATATATTTTTTCATTTTTACTTTAACTCTACAATTTTTCACATTTCTCCGCTGTGCATTATAATCCATTTCGTATGAAAAGTGATAACAGTATGATAACATGAGAAAGTCTGTTTTATTTCAGCGGCTGCACTTAATGAAGCCATTTTATCAAAGATGGCTAAAATGACATCATTAAATGGTAGGGTTGGTGAATATACACGTGTGGGTAATATAAAAACTCTTCGACACGATATGTCCTCATATTACAACTTCTTCAGCAATGTTGAGTACAACCATCCTATCATATCGACGCCATATGTGGATGCATGGGGATTAGGTAGGGTTCGTTTAAATCATACAATTCGTATAATCGCATGCAATAAGTATGGCATGACTTCGTTATAAGTTTTTTTTAAATAATGTGCACTATTAAATTGAATTGCTTGTAGGGATCTCACAGATGATAAGTGTCTATAATATAATACGTATACGCAGAGTGTAACCCTTACTTTAAAAGTTATACTTTTTCAATCTATAGAATATCTAAAATTAAAAATTTGAGAGGTTACATGGGGTAATACACACTGTTTTTACTGTAATGATGATTGGCAGACATATTTCGCTACATGTGACCATACTTAAGGCTTACTAAGCACATTTGGAAAATATAGCTTTAATCTGCAAAGTGAAGTGTAAGGTTATTTATTAAAATTTCCGTTTCACATTTTCCCACAAAATGATCAGCTAAATCTTAAGCGTATGTGAAAGTTGATAATTCTGCATATTCTAGGAATGGTTACATCGATTTGTCTGCCCCTCCATTATACTGCAAAATTTAAAGGAGTAGTTTGTGTCGATATGACAATGGAAGACTTAATGGAAGATGCAACGTATTTTACGGATGGAGAGGGATCGTATACATTTATCATTGACCAGGAAGAACGAACCATGGTTCATCCGCTACTCCCAAAACCATATTTGATCGAGGACGATCCTATATTTGTTCCTGTGCATAATATCGAACGTGGGGCTGAAGTAAAAAGCATTATCGCATCAATGACTAGTGGAGGAAACGGTAGTAAAACAGTGACATCACAACAAGTATTCCCCCGGGGCGCAGCGTCTATGGAAGGAGTTTACACTCGGACGGTCATATCTAAATATGGTTGGCGTCCGGTAAGATATTTTCTTTCTTTGCTCGATAAATTTACTTGACGAGACATAGCCATATAAGGCTTTATCTCCCAGAAAATAAATCCGACATATTTTGATAATAACCAAACAATATGTATTTGGAGGTAAAACATCGATAAATCGATTCTTCATATCCATAATTATTAATTTAGATTGAAGGAACAAAACTGTCTTTCTGCATGGTGATTCCTAAAGATGATGTAGCATATGAGATTGTTAGTAGAGGACCTCTAGATCAGTTTTACTATCACCGTATTGATATGGAAAACTATAAGAAGTGCAAACATTTTGATACAGCTGCTGCTATTAAAGGTATTTATTGCTTTTTTTAGTTATACAATGTATGAGTGTCTAAAATCTTTACATCACATTATCTCACATTGATATAAATTTTACGAAACCAACACTTATATTGGTTTCTATATTCTATCCTCCTTATTCTTTGCTTTTGTCAACATAATTCTCATTATTTTAAAATATGGTTATTGTAAGAAGTCATATGACATCTTCATGGCGTCAAATCCATTCCATTTTGCTAAAAGAATATTGTTCCTAAATTAGACAGGTCAACAGTTTTCTTCGCTGCAAAGACGTTCTTAGACCCCTATAGTTTCCTCGGCAATGTGGAAACATACAATAATATTGAGCGATACGTCGGTTATATGAAGGGCAATGGTGAAAATCCTGGATTCAAGGTCAGTTTATTGAAAGGATAGTTATTTCTTTAATAGGTGTCACAGGCCGCTTGTGAAATGTTAAATGATTACAAATGTTGATATAATAGCAGGCCAAGAGTTCGTAACAATAATTTTATAAAAGCATTGTCGCTCGTTGCTAATTTGAAACGGCTGCTCAAACGCTCGCATGGCCTGGCTTACTTTGGGATGAAGTGCGTTACAAGCATGATTTTTTCTGTATTATCACTTAATTGCATCTTTGGATTTTAACCATACAAATATACCAGTACTGTTCGTTTAGAAATATATTTTTCATTTGTAAGCCTGACATCCGTGATACTGTGTCAGTCATGAGACATATCGATGACTTTTGGCGTATGGACGAGGCTGTTCTTTGGTTATATATAGGAACAGCCAATGGCATTTTTAAGATGTTCCCCGGAAGTTATCTGCAGAGGTCATATGATCCTACAGTAAGACCATGGTAAGGTTTAACGGCTATACCATTTTATAATATTCCAGATATGTATTCTAGATTCTAATTTATTAACGGTCTCCGTCCCTGAAAAAGTGCTAATGTGCAGTTATCTTAAAATGTGCGCCAAAGTTTAAAACTGCGCAGGCGCAACGCTCTCGCTAAACTATATAAAGAGATTGCCCGGTACACGATTCAGAGGTAAGCCAGGAAGGCGAACGATCTTCGTCTCGTGATGATTTCCCATATAATCTTAACCAGGGAAGTTTCAACATTGAAATTGAAAATTACTATTAGATATACTTTGTAGATGTTATTTATGAAGCTATTTAGTGTTTGCATCAATCAAATGGCTCATTTTGAACATATAAAACGTATTTGTGTTTTGTTTCCCAGGGAATTGTATTGTATGTAGTACACACATAAATAGTGTACATTATACTTGAATAGCCTGGTTTACATAATATTGAAGGGCATGCTGATTACATGCACACGAGTACATGAATGAAGGCCTAATATTGATATACGTAGCTTGCATACCTAAATAAAAAATAAACTCTTCTAATCCCCTAATGTAAACACGGCGGTATACGTAGCCCGATTTATCGGGGACTTTAAGAGTTTGGGAGTTTGAATAGCAAAATGCATTTAAATGCCGAAATGTCACAATTAAATGTTGCAATTGAAAATATGTTTCCATTTATTTTGTTTACCTTACATATACATGTACATATGAAGTACAATATAGTACAACAAACAATAACTGCTATCTTTCCCAAAAATAGTGCACAGAGATTTCTCTAGGGATTATTCTGTCCACTGACTGTTTCCCCGGCAATCTTGTGACCATGTCAGTGGACGGAATATACCCCTGGGAAAAATACCTTGCTCCATCTCCCCCAATGGCAGTCATCGTGTGTATAATAACATTAACTTATCTTTTGTCCACGAAGTTTTAAAAATGTTTTACATTCAAGCTTATCCATTTGAACACATTTTTAGCAAATTTTATAACACGGTTCCAGAATCAAGTGTTTAGTTAGGTGTAATTGGGGTTAAAATTTAAGATTTTTGTATAAAAGAAATATAACTAAATTGCATGTGCATTTAATTGCTTCTTATGAGTCATACAACCCTTGGAATGATATGATCATTCGACGGTAAAACTAATATGAAATTTGCAGCAGTTTTGTGGATTTTTGATCTTATCTCCCTTCTCGGGATCCGTAACATTAATATTCTAGGTATTTGAGAGCAGTGGCAAACAAGGGAAAGATGGTGCTATCGGCATACGAAGATGCTCTGGGACTTGGTTACGTTGTGACCATGAGCTATACATTACACAAAGGACAGTAAGTATAAAACAAATTAACTTTACATGCAATTAAACAATGGAATTGAAATATATTCATATCACAACTTCAATATTGAAGAATTGTGTAAACAATAGATATTTGATTGTAGAATAAGAAATGAAACACTTAGATATATTATATAACAATATAAACATGTTTGAAACATCCAGTATATATTGATATAATTCAGGATTTTCTCTTACAGAGATGCAAGTGGGAATGACGGGCCTTTATTTGGCGTAATGGGATATGACTTTAACTTTAAGATATTTTACAACAAAATAATTGAACGTTACCCTAAATGCAATGACAAACAGTACAGGTAGGGAATATTCTAACACAGTAAAATGTTTTCGGGAAATATTTGCTCAAGATTTTTTTTCCATGTGTGTTGTAGTTACATCTTTCCCTTTGTTTTTGTAATATTGAACAAATATTTCACTCTATTGAGGTGAATACCTGTACATCTTTCACAAGTGATATTCCACGAAGCCCGAAGGGCAAGTGGAATATCACCTTGTGAAAGTGCTACAGGTATTCACCGAAAATAGAGTGAAAAATTTGTTTTATTATATCACTGTCTAGCTAAACATCCCTAATATTATTAAGTCATTAAGTCTTCAGATATTTTTACGAATCTAGTCGGTTCGTCTGCCATTTTGACTTACACTGAACTTAATTATTTACACTGAACGAAAACAAATTCTTTGAAAATTCCCGGGAGTGTGGGATATCGCTAGACATCTCACGGTTGTCTTATCTGATTAGCATTGCCATTGAATATCGCCAGATATCCCACGACATGTGGCCCGGTTTTGACCAATCATACTGTCGCTAGCTAGATAGTGATATAATAATGTAATATATTGATCCGATTGCATATCGTGGAGTCTTAACGGAATGTTTATTACTTTTGCTTTTATTTCCGTATCACTGAAGATGATGCTAATAATTTTGCAATTGCAGTTGTTTCATAATGGATACAAGCGGTTTCATACTTCTGCACAAGGATTTTGTCGAATGTGATAAAAGTGACCAACAGATTGACGGATTACATATCACAGTCAAGGTAAGGGAGCATTTCAAAAGATCGATGTCGGTAAATTAACCATAAGGAAACGACAAGGGGGAGGGAGTCATCGTTAGCTTTCCGACATCGTTGATTATCATATTATTGAAATAATTATTTAAAGTTGACTGTATTTTCTAAGGTTTAGGGTGACTTTCGAAATAACGCTTATCAACATTTCTCAAGCACAGTAATGGGGAAGAGGTGTACATTTTACTGTTCAAATACGGTTCGTAACTTTTGAGTTGCTACCTTATGGGGAACTGCTGATCACTATCGAGTATAAATGTATATAAGGTGTCAAAAATAATTAAAGTGGGATTATCGACTGCCGAGTCGTATCCATTGATCCTGGGCCTATCGTAAAATGAAAGCTTTGAATATGTTGTTGCCTTCAAAAATGTATCTATTTTCCATGAATGCAACTAGAATTTGTGCACATACCTTATATCGATCGATAATGGCAAAGGAAAATCCTCCAATTTTTCGTCTTCATTTCTCCTTTCGTCTCCGCCATTTTTTATTAAACCGGAAGTTTGTTCTCTGTCGTCTGCGCAATTTTTTTCACTTTTATTTCAGAATACGCTTCAGTTTCAACTTTTAATGCTTTCTGATAATCGTCAAGTCATTTCTATAAGAAAATTTTCGTAAAAAGACTCACACTGTCAGAGATTTTATCGATTCAAGCGGCCAGAAAAATTAGTTTCAATTTCACCCGCTAGGTGTTTCGACGTCGACTTGGAAAGAATTTGAAAAAATCTATGAGTGGGACTCCTTGTATGGAATTGTAGATTCTAAACGATTTGCCAGTTCTACTGGTTGATCAATATTGCCATATGCATACACTTTTATAAAATAGGAATAAGGAAGAAGATGTAAGACCAAACTTCGCCCCGATAGCTCAGAAAAGGTAAAATTTCTCCATTTTTCTCTCCACAGACCTTAGAGCCGCTTTAAGTACATGTTTGTGCCCCAAAGGAATATTCTAACATGATTTACCCCTTCTTATGATATAAGGATTCTACATAAGGTGTTCCTAAGGTGTTAATATACCCTAACTCCCCTCAAATCGTCCATTAACAATACGTTAACTTACAAAATATCACTACCTACCATTTGTTACAGATGCCATGACTGGTCGTGTAATGCCAACCGCTGAACACCATCCACAAAAAAAAGTTGAATGCTATAACAATATATGCTGAAATAGACAGCATACAATGGGTATAAGATACCCCTTATTCATGAAGGGGTTTTACAGTAAATAAATATCAGATTATCTACTGTATATGTGCTTCCAAGGGTCCGAGTTGACTAAAAACCATATAGATACTGGTAATCTACATAACATGTATGTTATTCAATAGGAGCCTGACATAGCAAGCCATTTGATATCAAATGGATTCATGAAACGAGGAGCATGTATGGATTTCGATTCCATTAAATACTACTACACATGGACTATGGACTATGATAGGATACAGGTAAGTTACAGACATGGACTTAATTTAGTAACGACGAACAACGCATTTGATCCCCAACATCATAGTGTTTCAAAACGATATAACTGGTTTGGTTATTTGTGTGATTTGTAACATACACTCCCCTCCATAAGTTTGGCAACCTCAGCTCCCCCATTGAACTACGTGTTAAAGCCTCTTTACCTTTGAAAATTTATTTATTTAACCTGCGATAAAAATGCTTATACTATTGATGGAAACGTAATTTGACATTATTTCCAATACTTCTAAATTTTCTCAATGTTTTTTGTCAATTACAAAAAGTCGAAGATTGATTATAAATTTGATGAATATTTTAAAAATCGACATTCCCATGTTAACCAATGGGAAATGGTAGGTTTGCCGCAAGTCATATGACAGAATATCCATCCATCTGAGTCCTTGCAAAAAATACGAGTTGGGCAGGGAATTGAATTTACTAACTTTATTTAACAAAAAATTGATATGTTTCTTCAGGTTCAACAAAGATATAGGGCTTTAAAGTCAAAATTGTTTTTCAAAAAATTTCTCCCATAGAAATAACACAGGAGGCGAAAAATTATTTTCAAAACTGACTTTGAAGCACTGTAACTTTAGTATTCATCAAATAAACTAAACACTTAGTGTACAAAAAAAGTTAGACAATTCATATTTTCTATTTAAAAAAATATTTTTTGCTGAATCTTTTATAATTACTGAAAAGATATTCTGATTTCTGATTTGCCCCGAACCCTCCATTTCCCATTGGATAACATGGGAATTAAGATTTTCAAAAATTCACCTAATTTATCATCGATTTTTGACCCATTGTAATTGAAGAAAAAAAATTAGAAAATTTGGAGGTATTGGAAATAAAGTCAAATTACGTTTCCATCAATATTATAAGCAATTATATCGCCAGATAATTACCCAAATGCGAGTAGGTAGTTACCAGTTTCACCACCAGGTGGCTGATTCGGGTCAATTAACATGGCAGGTATATAAGAAAGTTCCCTCAAACTTGAATATTATCAATTTAAGTGGCTCAATTTTCATATAACCCTTATGTGCCTGATACTTATACTAATGAAAATATGTCCAGTAACGCAAAATATTATCTGTCCACTAAAAGAAAAGATATTTCATTTTTTGTGATTTTATAGCATGGGGTCTATGGGGAATCTCCCCGAGCTAGAAGTCACATTTTCAAAAAAAATCAATTTTTCAAAGTTGATAAACACTTTTTAAAACCACATTTCTAGATGTAATTTTACATGTAGATTTCAAATATGATATTACTTTGACTGAATTTTGAATTTTTAATGACGTAAATCAAGATTACTTCTACTCGCATCTGGGTTATTAAGTAAATAAAAATTCAAACGTAAAGAGGCTTTAACTCGTAGTGCAATGGGGGAGCTAAGGTTGCAAAACTTATGGAGGGAAGTATATATTGATTTTGAATAATTTGATTTCTAAAACAATACAATACAATACACAAAATAAAACGGGTCCCAAACTTTAACCTATTTCATTGATGTTCGAAATTATTATCAATGTAGAACTATTATTTTTTATTTGTTTTATACTATCCATCAAAAAATCATTGCTCGTACCAGAACAGAGTGCAATGTTTGAAAGTGTATAGCATACCCTAAAATGTATTTGACTGTTATATCAGTGTACACTTTTATTTGAGGATGCCTTTGTTTTTCCTTGATTGTTATTTTTCGTGTCATTTATATTTACAGAACGACTTCGTAGACACAATGAAATATAGCGGCGATCCTAACTACGAGTTGCACGTACTGACAGATACAAATGCTCTCGTTGGTATTAAAAAGAAGCCAAATGGTGCCAAGTCCTCAGAATGTAAATGTTCTTCGGTGAGGAACACTTTGATCGAATAATAAATTCTTTCGAAAAATTTGTGGGTACACAAATTAGTGAAGGTCCAATTTTGAATATAAGTTGCATCAGTTACTTTATTATTATTACAAATCAGGCAAACATCATTGGATATGATAATGTATATGACAGATTTTAAGAAAATATCAAGAATCACATTCCGTGTCATATAACATTACCGATTATTTCGTTCTCAGTACGCATACCCAGTCATTAAACATATACTATGTATATAACGAGATCTCATTGTAGGCTACCAGCTACAATAGTGCAAAATATCAATGTGTTAAACTAGACAGCTCTAATAAGTTTTGTGAGTGTCCGTGCTATTCAAGGGCCCAGTTTGACTATTGTAACAACGACTTTCCCATGAGAAGGTTTGTGCTTTTAACGGCGTTATAAAATAAATACGTCTTGCGTGACCACAACATAATTTACCTTAACAACCATCATTTCAATTTTGACAATACAAGTTTTGGTTTGCCTACGTTCCATGCCACTCAGGTACTCATTTGACGAAACCTGATTCTCCACCGACATCCCCTTGCATTACGGCATACTCTCGTCGTTATGTCATAATACACAGGCTAGGCAGCACACTACATTACTTGTTCCTCTTATAATTATGTAATATCATACTCTATATAGAATAATATTTTCAGTGATGGTTACCCCACGTGTACACCAGATATACCACCATTGAAAATAACAGTTAATATCGACAAAGAAACAGTGCAGTCTTATGACGCGTGTTTAAAAATAAATTGTTTGGACAAGGAAACCAGAAGGTACGGTTATTTTTAGCCCAATATGCAAAAGTATAAAAAGAATCGAACCTTATTTTATGTAGGGCAAATGATATCGCTTAATATGTATTGTAATGTCTACAAATATATAAAAATGTTTTAGCGATTGTCTTCACTCTGGTGTGTGTGAATGGAATGACGCTGAGAAGTGTTTAGTTGCGTGTAAAGTACACACGGGCATTAGCAACAAGCGTGTAATAATCGGAGGGTCTGTGGCGGGAGCATGTGTTCTGCTGGGTATGATAATCATCATCGTTTGTGTGGTCTGCAAAAGGAAGCAAAAGAGAAATGTTGCTGCAAAAAGGGAAACGCAACGGGAGAATGAACTCCAGAACTTAGAGAATTTGAATCGTGTTTATGTTTTATCTGGATCAGATAATGATGATCCTCCACCCCCCTATATTTCTGGAACGCGTAACAGATACATGTGATAGTACAGCAACGGAAAGCTTGAACTTCTTTGAAATGGCAGTGGATAAAGTACTATCAAATAAAGCAACACGTGTACTTTTATTTTATTAATTTTTTGGAAAATCGACAATAGTGAAACATTTGAGGTTTTCAGCACTCAGTTTCCATATATTTTATTTATTTATATCCTATGGATAATTTATTCTTTATTCAAGAATCTTTTTCACCATTCGTTACTTTTAAAGCGCAAATGGTGAAAAGACAACGTTCAATTCGTGATGGCCAAAAAGTGCTGTCTTTTATCTTTATACTAATTCAAAAAATCATTGTTTTGTTTCTCTGAGCGATCGTACATAGCTTTGTTCAGACATTCTCTGGAATCGGATGTGCTGCAGATATTGACATAAATGTGTTGTGGTACTCTTTCTTGTTTAAGTTTATTATTCATGTCTTTATTTTACTTATTGAAAATAATATAAAAGTACATAAATAAACACATACCTATCGCCATTTGGCAATACAGGTTGCTTTAATTAATTAAAACATTGTTTTCAAGTGGCTATACACTAGGGTGTTCATTAAGTTCCTTCAAATATACTCTAAAAATTGTTTCTGAGCCAATCTGGCTGAAACTTTCACTTAGTATACCTCAACTATTGCTACATTGAAATCCTTAATTATAAGGAATGAGTTCATAAAGAAAAAAGTTATGGTTGCTATAGTTACGTGAGTCAGGTGTAGGCGGAGAAGGCAGTTTCGGTTGAATGTTCATTTTTCTTTATTTTGTCATATTTATTTTTCTAACAGTATCTAAAGGTTATATGTGTTCAACATATTGTCCATCATGGTATCGACACCTCTTCTGTCTCATTAACCACTCCTTAAACAGATGGGGACACCCATTTGGGAAATATCTGGCGATTGGTCCTTGTATGAATCATTCTTAATTCTGCATGAAACTCAAAGTCAAGTGGTGCCTTGTCAGGTGATTAGAGAATTTGATTTTGTTAACCCATCTTCAATTTGTTAATGTGGGCATTATCATCATTATAAATATAGTTGCTAGGGTTTCTTGGCTCTCCATGCATTATTCTCTTCTTGCGAATGGCATTGGTGAGGGACGATTTCGTGAAGCTCGTCATTCGACCTATTAGGAGAACTTATGGCATCCGTACAAGGATCAATTGCCAAATATGTCCCAAATGGATTCCGCCATCTGTTTGAGGAATGGTGAGACAGCAGAGGTGTATAGACCATGATGGACACTATGTTGAACACCTATACCCTTGAGACACTGTTAGTAAAATAAACAGGACAACATTAAAAATGTGATTATTCAAACAAAACAGATCATTTTGCCTGCTCTGCCTACCCTCCACTCACGTTAATATAGCAATCATAACTTTTTCTATATGAACCCATTCCTTATAATTTAATTAGGATTTCAATGTATGAATAGTGGAGGTATACTGAGTGAAAATTGCAGCCAGATTGACTTAGAAACAATTTTTTAGAGTATCTTTGCACGAACTTAATGAACGTCCTGTACATAACAAGTATTAGAAAATAAGTAAAATATGGTAAATATTAGAAATATTTGAGATTCCGTTGAGATTTACGACATAGCATATTTTCGAAAATAAGGCATTTCAATTGATCATTTTGATTTGTACATCTGGTTTAAGTTCAAACGATAAAGTGAATTTAATTTCTTAATTAAGGTGACATTACATGTATGTACTGTTTACCCACTGCCAACAATATGTATGCTCAAACCTAGGCGGTATATGCAATGCTAAATATAAACTTATTATATGAAATAAGTGATTAAAAAGCCATTATCAATTAACATATTTCGGTAAGACGAATACTATCGACCTGTATCATTCTATAATTTATCATTGCCTAATGGAGTCGAAACCATGTCCAAATCTATATGACCCAACATGTGTCTCTTCCTTTTCTCACTAAGTGTCTCAATATACAATGCTCTGTTTTTCTCCAGAGATGGACCCCAACTTGGCTCAGGCATTGTCAAATACTGGATTCGCTAAAAAATGTATAAAGATAAGATAATGATTTGTGATGTAAATATACTACTATTATTTCTATTCCGCCGTTTGTTTATTTACTACCTAGTATTAAAGTTGTTCTTAACCCTATTCAAAAATCTCAAATTAGCTTTTACTTAGCACAAATAACATCTCTTTTGTTATTGTGACTACAAAGCTTGTGATATTTCCCCATAAAACACAATTTATTAAGAAATGACTGTGAACCTCTGAAAAGTTGTTATTTTCGCGCACTTTTTGAGGTCATCTGACCATGACTGTTTGACGTACCGTGTGCCAAGTTATTCCGGCGCTAAATCGAAAAGTTGTTGTACTACTACTTAGGCCGAAAAAAGTAGAAATATACATTAGTTTCACATTCGCACGCATTCCAATAACAAAATGAATATATTTAATTGCCTGAATTTAACAAAAAAAATATTGTGGTGAGCAACGCACCGCAATATCATTCATTACATATACAATGAACTTTTGGAAGTGTTGGTGGTTCACCATCGTAAAGCGTGGCCTCCATACGCTAAGATAGCATAAACCGAGCAAAACGGCTAGTACAACTTTAACTTGAACTCTTTGGATTCTTCCAAGCACTTACTTCTTTTAAACTTTTTCCAACTGTAGTCATTATACGATAGCATGCAAACAAGGGTATTGGTACAAATGATACAACTGCAAGCATCCAACCCACACCAATTGCCCAATCGGGATACGTATAACTCCCATACGTCACAGGCACGTGAGTGACGACGATGAAGCAAAATATAAACTGCAAGACAAAATAATATCTTGTCAATTCAATATCGCCTTGCTTTTCGTCAATATAGAGTTCCTCGTGACATTCTTTGCTTTTTGGGATATTTTCTCTAAACAATCCAAATTAGCCGTCTGTGTTCTAAAAATACTAAATCGAAAAATTGTCCACTTATTTACAGCGTGTTATTCATCAATATGAGAATTTGGACCGCACACTGATATTTGTAGCAATTGATATATATTGATGTGTATTGTATTGTATTGTAATGTATTGTATTATCTTTATTTCCTCCTTCTTTTTTGCTCAACAATAAAGAAGTCCATTCGAATATAAAGCAAAGTACTCACCAATTACAATACGTTGTTTAATATTTATATAAAATAATACAATAAGGTACTGCAAAGATTGTACTATAGTGTGATGCTTACCAATACAAGTCCTGGAGTGACAAATCGCCAACATATCCTCCACAAAATTGATGGTTTTGAACCAATCATAAGTTCAATATCTTTAGAAAATTGGTTCGTGCCTATAATAAACGATAAAAAAAATGGAGATGCACATCATTAATGGAAATGCATGGGTGACAAAGTCGAAACGTAAATATGAACAAGATAAAAACATGTGTTGATGCACTTCAATATGATTTATAAATGAGAAATATATTTTGAGGCTTCACCATATATCCATGCAATTGCAACACACTCAGTAAACGTTATAATCATTACGACAAATGGTATGCTGTACCAGTCCATCACTTGTAAGACATACATGCCACCCTGAAAAGAATTAACAATATACTCGCACATCTAGTCTCAGTATTATTATAACAATCACTATACGGGATATTTTAATTTGCAAAAAAATATTTGTGTTATCAATCATTTAATAGAAGTAGAAATGCGAATAATAAACCCCTGGTGCGAAATTCGTCATCATAATGTCAATTTTTCTGATTTTTCTGAACAAATAGAGGCGAAGGTGGCGGGATGATTTTTGTATATGCATGACACTGTGAACAAGTTCCAATAGCATTTTTAGAGGGAAACCCTTAAATTCATTCACCTGTCAAACTACCAAAGAATCTGTTGATATAATCTACCCTGCGCGCAGAAGACGAAGCTCTCTTTTTAGAAGCGAAATCAAACGAATGCAAAGGGTAGATACAATCATAAATGCTTCGTATAATATTTTACATATTTTTCTTACAATACAGTATGGATAATTTCTTGGTTTGTCTGCTTGTCTGTCTTTAAATAATTTTAATAGGATTTGAGTTCATTTTGCTTAGATTGGAAGATTTCTCCCGAACTAGTGGTTTCGGGATTAGTGTGACATTCAACCAAGAATTTATTGTAAAATTTAGCTCATGGATGGAATTGAACAAATCTATGCTCAAAATTAAAACAGAATAAATCAGCTATACAGATGAATGGTTCAATTAGACTCCATTGGAAATTGATGAAGAATTTCGCTCCAGACAAATAGTTTGTGAATATTTTCTACTGATGGAGATATAGCCTTTTCGAAATCGGTATTATCTTTTTTATCTTGATTTTCAATTAATATAAAATTAAAAACAAATAAAAAGACACAGACTTGGGCAAGGCTGGGAGAAACGAGTATATTAAAAAATAAATAACTTTTGATTATCTTGTTGTATATAATTACTTCGTATAAATGCTGACGATTATGAAAATAGCTAAATGTATATTTACCTGCATTATTAAAGGAATCCCCAAGAGGAACTCTACTACACATATAATGGCTGTCACAAGTGTTTTCCTACTAGTCAGGTTAAATTCGTCTGTTATACAGATTGCTATTGACTGTATCGTCACAAACTGCAATTAAATATCAGTGATCAAACTATAATTTACCATTCTGATACTCAGACCATCTCTGCTATGCACAAGAATGCTCTGATATACTTTGCACTGATTGCCGATCGAATGGGCGGGGCCTAGATTTATAATGATATTAATATATTCAATGACGTCAGAATTCTAACCAATCACAGATGATGAATTTCTAAAATTAGAAAATATACCTTTTCCCCACGATGTTATACATGATTTTTAGTTCACTACAACCATGGTGCTTCAAAGTTATATATACCCGAGTTTCTTGGCAATCCATGCGTTTAAACCCGACTTATTTGAAGTTGAATTTATGAAACGAAAATGACGTCCGACATGACCTACATATTTTTTTCACTTTTGAAGATTTCTCTAACCTGTTGATCCTCGAGGGGTAAATATCTACTCACATCACGTATTTATCTCATTTTCTACACAAGTAGTCGATACCTAGTCCGTTTTCCATCGATTTGAACGACGTGTATTTAACAAGTTTAGAAAAATCTTTTTTTCCTAACGAGGTACCATTATCTTTCGGTCTATTTTTCTAACACTTCCGGTGGACTGTGATCGTGGTATCCAGCACAAACTCTTCCCGCTTCCAGTTTATTTTCTATCAATATATTATGGTATACACTTCTCTTGAATACATAAGCGCAAATGCCAAAAGGGAAGGGTACGTGATCGAAAACCTTAAACCTGCACATCGCTCCAAAACGCAATATGTTGACATATTGTTTTTACATTTTCAAGCTCTAATATAAAGTTTATGTAAATAAAAATTGTTTTTTCTGCGTAATATCAGAGAACAATCATTTAGTTAAAAAATAAAAAAAGCGAGGGCGGGTTTCGAACTCGGGCCTCCAGCATGCTCAACGAGAATTCTACCGCAGGACGACGGAGCTACTATATTGAAACTAAGCGATCTGATTGGTGGAGTTCTTAACCCCGCCACTCACTGTCACGTGACCTGTAAATACGGATTCGATTCGTCATATCACTTTGGCTGAATTCTGGACGGGCCACGCCCCCATCAGATCGAAGGCTATTGCCAAGTAACTCACGGCATTCTAGAAGGACACTGAGAGAAGGCTGTGATATCTCACGATGATAATTTACCTTGTTTTGAGAACTTTTTAATTTCATTTAATAACACAGGCTGGTATCGAAAAAATTGTCCGCTGTGACGGAGCGTGCTATTTTGCATAGAAACACTAGGAAATCCACACAATTTATTTTTTACTCATATGTTTTGCTATATCAAAGAAAATTACTGACTCCATGCAATGAATATATCATTTGCGGGTAACTTTAACTTCTGTTTGAAGTCCAACAACGCTAAGAGTAAAAGCTATTGAAAACGGCGTCGGAGTATCATACTCCAAAATGTACCAATTCTTTTATTTCTTTTTAATGATACAATATAGCGACACAATAATATTTACATATGTTTTCAGCATAACTCTGAAGGTATTAATGAGATCTTTATGTATTGGGTATTTTTAATTTTTTCAATAAAAAATAATGTTTAAATTTTTTGTCCGCTGTGACGGAGCAGTTTCAAATCTGAAATACGTTAAGAATTTAGATTTATAATATATCTCTTTATAACTACACGTTAGAGGAGGGAGCGTATCAAATCTCTTTCTTAAAGTATTCTGAAAAATAAAACGGAATAAAAGTACACAATTCAAATTCTGAGATGTATATACGACCACTCTTTAAGCTTCTTTTCTTAGTTTGTACTGTAATCCAAGTTATGCATGGTAACTCATGAAAATGATATTGTCAACTTTATTTCAGTATAGGGTATTTGCCTTTCGTTGTGCCTACTGTGGATCCATCACCTGACATGATCATTTTTTATGGTAACTTATATACAGTAATATTATGTGGTAAAAGGTTATACATCTGTCGGAATGCAGGATGTCTGTGCGCTATTTCGAATAAATTCATATTATCCCTATTTATGTTACGCGGTAAACACGATACAAAAATATGCCATATTCCGCAACGAATATGCCATATTCACTTGCGGTGTATGACAGATTCACCTGTGGTATATGGTATACACACTAACCAATGAGAACGTGATACGGAAGTATGCAATTGTCAATTGCATCGATTGAACGAACAAGTAAAACTTTATAAATTATTAAAATGATTACTGAATCAACAGTACAGTTTATCGAATACATCAACGTATGCAGAAGTATCACTCACCAATCTCACGTAATAAACTTACCCAATCAATCCAGGATTACATTCAGAGTCGATTCTCGCAACCAATCAAACCAAGTCTTTCTGTATCACGTTTTTCACCTGCGGAATATGTCATATTCAACTGCTGTATATGGCATATTCCGCAAGTGAGTATGACATATTCTGAAGGTGAGTATCGGGTATTCACTGAATTCAATGCATCACATATTCACTGCGGAATATCGCATACTCACCTGCGGAATATATCATATACCGCAGGTGAGTATGGCATATTCACCCGTATCATAAATACCGCGCAACCATGAATGTATGCCATATTCCGCGTAACAATTTACACTACACGTGACATTCTAAGACGTCTTGGCGAAAACGTATTAGAAATATTATGTTGAGTTTACACCATGTTGATTCATGTTGATTTCAGTACAAACCTCCGAAAAATGCTAAGAGTTTTTATATCTCAGATTTACATTACCCCAGATCTCCCAGAGGCTACTTGTCATAATTTAGGAAAATGATTTGTGACGTTCTCTCTTCTTATGGTACTTTTAAAAGGTATAATTTGAATCTTAAATTCTTAACGTAGTTCACAGTTAAAACTGCTCCGTCAAAGCGGACAAAAAATGTAAACATTATTTTTTATAAAAAATATTAAAAATACCCAATACATCAAGATATCATTAATACCTTCAGAGTTATCCTTTAAACATATGTAAATATTATTGTGTCGCTATATTGTACCATTAAAAAGAAATAAAAGAAGTGGTACATTTTGGAGCATGATACCCCGGCGCCGTTTTCAATAGCTCTTACTCTTAGCGTTGTTGGACTTCAAACAAAAGTTAAAGTTACCCGCAAATGATATACCCGTTGCACTGAGTAAGAAACTTTCGTTGGTATAGCGAAACATATGAGTAAAAAAATAAATTGTTTTGGTTTCTTAGTGTTTCTATGCAAAATAGCACGCTCCGTCACAGCGGACAAATTTTTCGATACCAGCCTGTGAATAAAGAGAGAATCAGATCTAGCAAGCAATCTAACGAAAAACGTTTCAATTTTAGGATATTTTTGGCTACTGTCATTCCTTTTTATATCCATTTTCTAAAAAATCCTCAAAATGCACACTTTATTTCAGGTAAGCCAAAGATTTTTACGACAATGCATAATTTATCTATAAGAATAGTTACCATTCTTATCATTTGGGCGAATTTAAACATGTTCACCCATTTTGCACTTTGAATCCATTGTACTTCACCACTTTATAACATATCGTGAATCTTTTTGGAGATATTGTATTTGAGATTGTAAGGAGCAGATTGGAAGGTCAATTGTACATGTTGTTTGTAATTTTGTCACCCCCATAGATCTGATTCTGACTTTAACTAATGTGATCCAATACAAAACAAAAACTAATGTGATCCAATGTATTGGCTCACATTAAATACTCGACTTAAAGGTGGGACCTTGCCAAAAGGCTTCTAAACGTCACCTGTGAAGTTGTCTCGCCCAACTACTTACCATACTACCCACACCCAACGTTAGAAGCATTGTAAAGAACAACACAGACCACACAGGAGAAGCCGGGAGTTTCGTAACAGCCTCTGGGTACACAACAAAAGCAAGTCCAGGACCTTAATCAATAATTTCAAACTTTATACGATAATATCAAGACGTGCAAACAATTCAATGCAAACTTTAAATTTAATTAGATAAAAGCACATGTCTCGAGATACGTTGCCATCAATTAGAGTATTTATCTCGTGGACACTTTGATTATCTTCAATTTTACCATTGAACGTTGTGATTTTTAGTTTCAAGACATCTGTACCTCGGGTACAAGCGACACATGATCCAAAGTTTAGCGAAAAATTTCACAACTGCACCGCTTTTGACTACTCGTTTTGTAGAAAAACTGTAGGACATGAAATGTGCCAACTATGGAGATTTGTTGAACAAGGTAGAATGAATCACAACTCCAAATCCAAAATGACGGCTTCAAAGGGGTGGTCTATGTTTGGCTCAAGTCCCATCAAATGTGATTTGGTCGAGGGAAAATGTTTTTAAAACATCCGCTAAACTAATACTGATACTTCAAAACATTCTAGTTAAAATATCTTCTGAAGCTGAATGCTTCTCATGACAGTAAATTAAGGTATGAACAATACATTTACCATAGTAACAATATTTTTCTCCAAATAGATGGATATTCAGTGAAACTTTGAATATTGATCGTGCCATTAATTTGCATACCCTGTGAAAATAATCAGTAGAAAGTCTTAATTTAAGATTCGTTTTCTTAGAACTTGTTAGTATGTTAGCAACGCATCTTGGTCACAATCTGTCTGTAATAACGATACAGGGGCATCAGTACAAATAAATCCTTTTATGTATAACGATAGACGAAAGGGTGACAATATTGGTAAGTTGACACAATATATCAATAATAAATATTACCTTGAGTAACAACGCGCTCAATACTCTCACCAGTTTCGTGAGACATGAATCCGACAACCGAGAAGATCACAAGACCAGCAAACACACTCGTAGCAGCATTCATGATCATGATTATAACGGAGTCTCTGTAATAAAATAAGAATAACCATTTTGGAATCGCAACAGAAAATTTAAATCTCACCCTATAAGGAATTTGATTGGTTCTTTGAAGCGTACTCTGTCATCTCCGTGATATCTTAGGTTGCTGTGGATCGGTACATGCTCTCTCGTGATAAAAGTATTCTGCGTAACTTAGCTATTTAAAGCATTCATATCATTTGGTGCTTTAGAAAGTGTTTAAAAGGTATGTTACAATATACATACTAGAACGTGTATTTTACGATGTAAAAATATTTGCTAATTATGCATTTTCAACTAATGATTAGCTTTCAATTTCAAATTACCAACGTTAAAAGACTTTAGTATACTACTTATAGATATGTAAACTTTTGAAAAGTAAACTTAAAAGAACCGTAAAGTAGTAAAAAATAACTAGAATAAATTATCGTTAAAGCTGCATTGATGAAAAATTCATTGCAAGACCCTTTTAAAAGCTAATCCATGAACAATCCCATGGCTCAAACATATGCACAAAATATGATTTTTCACCTTTGGCAGTTGCTGTTGAATTTGTTATAACTGGCCATTGTGACTACACTGCCCCCGCCAACACCAGACGAAAAGAAAATTTGCATTGCTGCTTCGCCCCATACCTACAACAAATTAAAACAGTTTATTTTTAATCGGGTTGTAACAGTTTATAATTAGTCCATTGTTTTCAAATGTGTCAATTGTGCTGTTTTGATGATCGAGTATTTTCCATTTACATCATGATCATTCGTGCATTTAGTTGCTTAATATTAATTAATTGTAAATGTTCCAAGCACTGAGTTAAAGGGATTGTGAAAAAGAAGTAAAAACCAATTGAATATGGTATGGTACTTACCTTAAAGCTTAGAAGTTTCTCCCACTTAGGAATGAGGTAGTACTTCAGACCATCTGCTGCTCCAGGGAGGGTCACACCACGTATCAGAAGGATTATGAGTACTACGTATGGAAAGGTGGCCGTAAAGTAAGCAACTTTGCCTTGAGAAAATAGTAAATTGATATCAATTATCTAGTATTGTATTCTCCCTACTAAAGACCTATGACTGTCTACAATAAGGTCATAGTAAAGTTCAAATCAACGTTTAAATAGTAAACATTACAGAAACCTTGAAGCATCACAACGGTGTTCGTAATTTCATTTAAAAAATTAAAACCTCTGCTACGAACCAGATGTTTTGTGCCCCTTGATGAGACACAGAAACACAATCACCCATGCTGCAACGAGGCAAAGCAACAGCTTCCACTGAACGAAACCCATGTCGTCTATACCATCGGTAATGTTGAGGACATAACGTCTTAAAATTAGCATAATTATAATCTAGGAAAATATACAACCTGACACTATAGCATTATGTAGATCGAATTTCAGTGTTATTGATGGAAATGAATGTGTTTTTGAAGAAAACATAAATGGAAATATACCTCCAATATTCCTCACTTGGGGACACACGTCGTTGTGTAGTGTTCACCAAAGCACTTCCATTGGCAACATTTACCGAGAAGTTTGCCTGCTTTATAGTATAAGCAGTAAAAGTTTTTAGTAGATAGTCGACTGTTTTATTTGATGTGGTATTGACCTAAAGTAGAATAAACCTAAAGTGGTAAGTAGTGACGGCATGCAAAAAGATCTTGGTCGATAAATTGACATTGCTTGTTCAGGTTATTGCTTCCTGGAATATTTTGACAGAGAAGGATCTGAAAGATAATGAAAGTTCATAAATAAAACACAAGATGCTCATCAATACTGGCTACCGAGATACATCATCAGTAGTCTCCCTTCCTCGGATTTCTATGCAATGGGACTTTGCCCATGCTCCGACTATATCCGATTATTATCTGGAAGGTGCCCCCCAGCAGAGGTTAAACCTCCACCTGTATCTCTAACGGTTGCCATAGATGGTACTGGCCTACTGTAAAGATACTGGTATTAGAATAACTCCTCGTTGGTGCTTTGTCAGTTGGTAGATGTTTCTTTCTCAGCATTGAATACTGTTCTGTTCTGCATGCAGGAGGTCCATAGCATGAGGGTCAGAGGCTCTTTAGGGTTAATCCTGGCCGAGTCCCTCTACGGCTCACGTAACTATTAAATCACTGCGCTGCTACTTCTCGAAAAGAAATCTGTATTACAGACCCAAAGGTACACCATGACGTGTATCGTACATCCGTCAGGTCCTTCTGTATAGTGTAGAAGAGATCTTTTGTGGTACCATCTTTCTTGTGTGTGTACATAATGTAGCAGGTTATGCACGTCACACGTACACGTTTACAGTCTATTGGTACGCAGGTCAAGCTGCGCCCGCGAATAATACGATCATTCATGCAGAGCGATTCGAGATCAGCCTGTATCACACATCCCTTGCTGCATGTTCTTTAAAGTTTGATCGAACTGTTGAAGTTTTAATAATTACACCAACTGAGGAAAAATTACTGAATCACAAATTCATTTGGCTATACTTTAGTTTATATCGGAGCATTTTATCTGATTAAGGTATAGAATATTTCTATAAATGGATATGTTGAGTAGAATGTTGGTGAGGTAAAATTAAGAAATATACACCGAAGAATAGGGGTAATATCGTCGAATACACCCCGCATGTCTAGGCACACATGTTTTCTGTAACCCGAACGACCGAAGGGAGTGACGGGTTCGAAGTTTTTTGTGCCTAGCCCCATGGTGTGTATTCCACTATATTACACCTACTCTGAGGTCTATATTACGATTCGAACATGAAAACTCACCAAAATGTTTTGAATTAGGAAATATAGACCGAAGAGCAGGGCTACTAGTTTCGAATACACCCCGCAGGGTCTAGGTACAAACGTTTACTGTAACCCGAACGACCGAAGGGAGTGACGGGTTCGAAAGCTTTTGTGCCTAGCCCCAGGGTGTTTATTCAACGATATTACACCTACTCTAAGGTCTATATTACGATTCGAACATGAAAACTCACCAAAATGTTTTGAATTAAGAAATATAGACCGAAGAGCAGGGCTACTAGTTTCGAATACACCCCGCAGGGTCTAGGCACAAATGTTTCCTGTACCACGAACGACCGAAGGAAGTGAAGGGTTCGAAAGCATTTGTGCCTAGACCTAATGTGTATTCGAAACTAGTAGCCCTGCTCTGAGGTCAATATTACGATTCGAACATGAAAACTCACCAGAATATTGCAAGATCGTCAATTTCGATGTTCATTTCCACTTTTTTTATTTCTACTTCCGGTTGAGCGTTTGGCTGTTCCAATTTGTTTACTTACCTCCTGACCCCGACTTAAGTATTTTATTGACATTTCGGCATATTTCATAGGTTTCACGCATGTCTACTACATTGATAATTACTGAAATTATTGATATTACAGTTTACAATTGCTCCGACAGAAAATTTTGGCTCTGGACAATTTCTCCCTGCTATTTTGAATTTTGCAGACGAGAGGGGGATGCGAAAAGAACGGAACGGCCTAAACTGACCAATGAGTGCACTGAACGAAACACTTAGTACAGAGCCGGTGAATTGATCTCGAATATAACCCAGCTGAAGCATTGACTTTGTTCACAGTTTATAGAAGGCATGAATACAGTTATGTTCGAATATTCATTAAGGCCGCCAATACTACGGTTAGCCGTTGTGATGTCACACATTACTTGTATTACCAGGGGTATGGTTCGCAAATATACCCCGGGTGAAATGTTGACTTAGATCACCGTTTATGGAAGGCATTAATACAGTCATGTTCGAAAGAACATTATTTACCTGTATTGAGCTACATTGAGGCGTGTTCCATGAGTTATCACATGTACTCCATGGAAGCGTCCAAGTAAACGAAGCAAAGAGGAAATAGACTACCCAGGCTACAATTACGTTGTAGTAAATGTTCGACACGAATCCAATGGATACCATGCTATATCCTATACCTGAAAAACATTATGTCCAACAATCATAATATTCTTTTAATTCTGAGATATGTCAGTATCTTCATTTAAATAATGTGGACATTTGGGCTTGTTTATTTACTTATGCTAATGTACTGATGGCTATGTGAGTTATTCATCAGGTCACATGGTCACTCCAGTCTAGCAGTCAGTCAGTCTCTTAGCAGCTTACATGTAGCATTAGGCAGTAATATGCGCTAGCTTTTTCTTTGAAGTTTTTAAAATATATATAGTGAATATATAGTTTAACAGTAAAGTATGGATGAAGAATGTAGAACAGTGCTAGAAAAATGGAACGTGAAAGAGGAAACCATGGAAGTCTTAAATGCAAATGGTTTCAAATTCCATCCTTGCCTTGAAAACAATGTTACCAGAGGATATCAAAACTCTAAAAATTAAACCCCTTGGACAAGCACGCCTGTTAGATAATTGCTTACGAGAGCTATCTAATTTACATGGCCCTACAGAGGTTCAGAATGGAGAACATCCCAATGTTCCCCAGGGTCAGGACGATGACCCTAATCATCAAGTTGGAGCAGCACTCCAGGAGCTTATTGCTAGAGAGGCAAACGTGCCAGGAATTGGAGCATCCTCTACACCTCCCCCCCCTCCCCCCAGGCTTTGATCAACATCTAAGCTTAAAATTAGATAAAGGTGAGAAGCCCTGTTTCATCGGGGATTGGATTAATAATACACCTATACAAGAGGCATGTGAGGAATCTATAATCAATGAAACGGGAGGGACCTTCCTCATCTTGAAGCGATCTGGTTCGACAAAACCAAAATTAGAGGATATTACACCCCACCAATGGTGCCTAGCATCAGTTCGGATCCTTGCCCATATGATGGAAACAGGAAAATTAACGGGTTCTGTCATAGATTATCTTGCTTATATGGCAAAAATATCTCAATTTGGTCAGATGTTTTCATGGATATCGGTCCTCAGATACGACAATGAGTATCGTTACCTGCAAGCCCAACATAAATTCAGATGGGGTGTGGATGTGCCGAGCCTCAAAACAGAGCTCAAATATAAAAGTGTGCTAGCTGCAAAGGATGCGGGGAAACTCACCACTAAAAGCTTGCCCCAGGAGAAGGCAAAGAAACCTCCCACAGTATATATATCACCCACAGGCAAACCATTGTGTGGATTGTATAACAAGGGTGAATGCACCTTTTCCCCTTGTAAATATGAACACATGTGTTCTATATGCTTCAAGGAGAATCATGTCAGACACATGCATGGAAAAAACTAATTTACCCCTCAAATGTACTTACTGACACCCTAGGGACCACACAAGGAGTGCTTCCTAGACCCCCTCTTAATGAAGCATGCTTAATTCCCCATGTGTGGGAACAGGAACTGAATTATACTAATGATCCTGATAAGGATTATTTATTAGATGGTATCTCATTTGGATTCTCTATTATTGACAGTGATGTGAAACTGACACCAGCAGAGACTGATAACTATAGGTCTGCTACTGGACCTGAAAATCGTTTAAAAGTCGAGAGGCAAATTTTAATAGAACTTGAAGAGGGTCGTTATAAGATATCTTCTGAGAAATGCAGACCTAAGATCATTAGTGCCTTGGGATCAATCAAGAAACCAGACAGTAATGACATAAGACTGATTCATGATGCCAGCATGCCTCATGGAGAGGCTCTTAATGACTACTGCTCAATTGATAAAGTAGTCTATCAATCTGTGGACAATGTGGTTGACCTTATTACCCCAAATTGCTACTTGGGGAAAATTGATTTACATAGTGCTTACAGGTCTGTTAAGATCAAGGACACTAATTACCAAGCAACAGGCTTAAAGTGGACATTTTCTGGTCAAACAGAGGCCACATATATGTATGACACAAGACTATGTTTTGGAAGCAGAAGAGCTCCATCTATTTTTCATAGACTTACTCAAGTGTGAAGCGAATGCTTTTTGCCAGAGGCATTAATTCCGTTGCATATTTAGATGATTTCTGTATAGTAGCAGAAACTAAAGAGCAGTGTATATCTCATATGGACATTGCAATATCCTTATTACGTAATTTGGGATTCGCAATTAGCTGGAAGAAAATTGAGGGGCCTAGCCAGGAATTAACTTATCTGGGCGTCTTAATTAACACAGTTAATGGAACTTTATCATTACCACCAAGGAAACTAGAGGAAATACTTCATTTAATAATGTTTCAAAAATCGTAAGAGGGCTTCAAAACGTCAACTGCAAAGCCTTGCAGGCAAGATGTCATGGGCATCACAAGTGGTGCGAGGGGCGAGGACATTTCTTCGGAGGATTCTTGATTGCATACTCCCCCTCAACCATGCTAAGCATAAATCCATACTATCTGCATCGTTCCACGCAGATATCGCCTGGTGGATTAATTTTCTGAAACGCTTTAATGGAAATACATTTTTTATTAATCCATGCCCAATCACAGACGTGTCTGTTGATGCAAGTAACCAAGCTGCAGGGTGTTTCTTCAGGGGTGACTGGATATATGCCTCCTGGGAGCACGACCTGGAAAAATATAAACATCTTCACATAAACTATAAGGAAGTGTTGTCGATCCTGATCGCTGCGAGAAAGTGGGGTCCCTCATGGTCCAATCATAAAGTAGTAATTTACACGGATAGCACAGTAGCCATGGTCATAATCAATAAAGGTTCTTCTAGACAGCCTATTATGATGGAGGCTTTAAGAGAGTTGTTTTGGATTTCAGTGGATTATAATTTTGAGGTCAAGGCAGTTCATATTGAGGGAAAATTAAACCACATACCTGATGCTATAAGCAGGCTAAATGAGCCTGGTCAGCTTCTCAGATTTCAATCATGTATTTCTGAGGTTCTCAACTCGAATCTGTCAATGTTTACTTTTATCCCTTGCAATCATATGTCATTGGCTTCATTTATTTTTCTGTTACCACAGATACACAAGTGGCTACTGAGCAACAATTGGATGCAGAGGTCTTACGACTACGCAGTATGACATTCGCAGATTCAACGAAGGCAACATATATATCCCATAGAATGGAACTTTAAGTTTTGCTCCTCCATGGGGTATTTACCAGTTCCAGCTACGACTTTAGTGCTGAGTCGTTATATTGCATATATTGGAAAACTGTTAAAGTTCTCATCAGTTAAACAATATCTCAACATTGTCCGCTTATTACATTTAGAGTGTGGATTACCTAACCCTTTGAAAGACAATTGGATATTATCTTCAATTTTACGGGGACTTAGGAAGGACATTGCACTGCATCAAATGTGGAATTTCTAGTAATTTCTAGACGTGCTTAGTCGGTCTAGGAACTCCGTGTATCTAGAGATTTCTAGGCGTACTTAGACGTGCTTAGAGCTGGCGTGGACAGAGCGTGACTAGAGTCTAGAAATCTCTAAGCACGCCGTGGTTAGACACAAGACAAAATTAGTCGTTATTAAATTGCTATGTGAGATTTTGCGCTATATATGGAAAGATTTAAGTTATAATTTACCGCACGTGTTAATATTTCATGTTTTGCTTTAGCTAAATACGGGATATCAAATCAAAAAGAGTATGTTTTCACTTTATATCCGACTTGAGTCACGAAAAGTACATCGCAACATGGCTTCTTAATTGTTAACTTGTTATAAATTAAGAAGGTCTGTTTAAATGGGTATTTCCACTAATCAACACCCATTATTTCGCATTGACAAGTACCAGGGCCAAATCCAGCATTTGCTAAGGGGATGACTTTTGAATTATTCCAGGGGTGAGGTCACATTTGATATTTGTTCAAAAATTACACGAAAACTGCTCAAAATGGTGAAAGAATTATTGGCCAGGGGATACAGTATTATTTTAAACTAGACATCTTTGTCGGCGAGGGGGGGGGGCTAACTTATTCCAGGGGTGGGGTCACATTTGATATTTGTTCAAAATCACACGAAAACTGCTCAAATGATGAAAGAATAATTGGCCGGTGGATGCAGTATTATAACTCATTCAATACTGGGGCAAAAAGCACTAAAATACTGAAGAATTTTTGAAAATTCCTATATAATGGTAATGAGATAATATATTAAATATATACATGGGCATAAATATGTAGTGTTATATATCATTTTAAAGCATATGATATACTCTATCAGAATCAATACGTTTTAAGTCCCATTTTATAGGTTGTCATGGTTACAAGATTCCAAAAAAATACATTGGGTTTGTGCTTGGACGTGATATCACGTCATTCGTAGTCAACGTATATGCTTTATGACGTTATATCACGTCATTCGTAGCGAATACTGTCGGCGAAGGGGATGGGGGGGGGGGCTAACATATAGTTGAAATTACAGAATACGCTACCTTAATTTTTGATAATCTATAAAAATAATATTGTCATAAACAACTACTGATTTATATATGTGAACGGATATTTGTAAATTTGGTTTAAAAAGAAACTGAATATAGGGTAAAAATGAGGGAGACACAGACGTCGGAAGAGTGGGAATAAAATCTAATCAACACTAAGCTGAGACAGAATGAGAATCATATGTCTGGACTCGCAAGATTTTCATAAACATATTTGTTGATTGCTCGCGAAAACAAAAACAAATTTCAGGGTTCATTGGCATCACACAATATTTGCAAAATGGAGGAGTGCATTTTCCCAGGATTTAAAACAATGCTTTACTTTAAACGTCGCCCCTCATACTAGCATACACTTTAACTATCAGATTCAGGAGCACCCTGCCCTTGATATATTAATACATAGTTTTCTTGTACCCCTTTTCAAAAATACAACGAACTAAATACATAGTAATAATGATCTTGGAATTGATTTCTTTGATCTGTAATCTAGATCACACAATAACTAATTAACTGTTTGATTGCGTTTTGCTTCTTCAAAGACGGGATATCCCTAAATTACCTTGATTACAGCATGGGCTTTCAAGTGAGTCCAT